TGTCTCTTCTTATTAAATGTATTGTCCAACCTGCTTGACCCATCACCATCTCCATATGCGTGCAATATAACTTAACGTTAAAACACGGTTTATTTGTTTATTAAAATTTTCCAGCACATGCATGGAGGGGGAGGGAGAACAGGTGGGTCACCTTTACCAGCTCCCTCCCCTAATTACATCAATAAAAACAGTATAAAACAGCATTGGATTTAAACACATTATGAAAGCAATACATAAACATACATACAAAAATATGGACATTAATAAATCAAATATCATTCTACGTAAATGTCAGCGAGGTCTTAACGCTATGCATGTTCCACACCTGATTGATTTAATCTAAAAGCCTAAGACAGTTGAAAATCTAAATGATATTCCAACGTACTATAACATCTTTCATACCCCTTTATGAAGCTATTGGATAGCACTTCAGTTGACAGAATTTCATTTTATATTATCCCTAAAGCACACTAGAATTGTCTATGTGTTTTGAATTGGTTCTTTTTTTGTCAACATCACTTATAAATGATACGCCTGAACAGTGAAACCAGACATATGCCTGCGACCTTTGTATTTCATGACTTGACCCGAAGTGAAATAGTTTCTCGTTTTCCTAAATCGCTATGATACATAATGCAGAAACGCATTTTCGGGGCAATTTTCAGGACTGAGTCCCGCCTGCTAACATATAGGTTTTTGATAGGTTTGTCCAATGACCCTATACAAAATACCATAAAAATCGATACTAAGATTTAGGAGGCTGAAGCCATATGGGCGTACTGAATCAACGTTGCGGTTGAAAAAGCCAATGTACCGGCACTCATGCAATATGTTTGAAAAGCAAAACGAATGTAAAGAAAAAAATATACAGGATAATATGAAAAAGTTTCTAAATTTCGATGACAAGTCTATCTCAATTACTTCACTTCCTTATTTTATGAAATTATTTGTAATTATTTATGTTGTTATGAGTTACCGTATATAACGTTTATGTTTAAGGTGTTACTTGATAATTATTTGTTCTTATCTAATAATTGTTGTAATATGTTGTTGAATATCATTAGTACTATCAATTACTGTTATCTTCCCCCCACATATCTTATTTTGTTATGTTATGTTTATTTTGTTACTTGGATTTTAGGCTAATAAACAAACAAACAAACAATGTAAAGGTCCAGAAATCCACCGTAACGAAATGCTGACTGTGAGAGGAAACTCCTGACACTATGGGCGATCCCGCCGTCCCAAAGTTGGTTCCATTAGGATAGAATCGATGGGACCTTCCAGCCGGGGCAGCGTCCCGACGATAAATCTATCACACACTCAGGGCCAAGTTCGCCAGGACTGCAATTACTTGCGGGGACTTTGATGAATGAGTCAGAAATGTGGTGCTCTCTAGAATGTAACCAAGGCACTTCTCCTGGCGATATTTCTGCACCACAGGGGACTAGTTCTTGCACGGGCCCGTATTATAGGCTTTGTGGATTGGATTATATGGATGACATCCACGCGCGCATGAATTTTTGTACTGTACGTTTCCACAAAAGAGGTTTTCGACCATACTGTAAATCGTACAAAGCAGCTGCAAAGTGAGCAATATGCCTAAATAGCAAAACAAGATATTGGAAAACGATAGTAATGTCGTAGAATGCCAATATCAATTCCTACGGAAAAGACGAAAATGTAAAGAAGTAAAAATACCGAGTCGCCATGCTATACTCTGTGTGTTGGGTCATTTGCTCAACCTTCATGACCACGCAAATTTTAAAATGATGGCACCTTTTCTTCAAACTTTTTTTTATTTTAACGCTTGCATCAGTCTTGGGGGTTCCAAGGGAATGTCATCCATAGAATCAAATCAACATGGCCTAATATGTGCAATGTCGCCCGGACGGCAACTTTTTACGTCGCTGAATCGGGACAGGGATATTAACTCCACAGCCAGGGTCGTGCCTGCTCTATGTAGCTCATTCCTCGGTCTATATTGACCTTTTCCTCTTGTCCTTTGACGCTGCATGCGGACCGATGTCTCCAAATGAACAAACAAAGATTCTAGAGGATCTTGAGTGATTGAACCCACAGGACAAAGGGCGACACCATTCAACCAGGAGACAGTGTGTCTGTGTCCCTGGCCATTACTGCTCAGAAATATGATTACTACCATACATCCAGCACAGAGTAGCGCTATTTGTAACATGCAGATTGATGTCGGCCCTCTATTAGGGAAACACTAAAACTACAATGTGTGTGTCCATATCCATCTTTTTGCGGTACAAAACTCTTAAGTTTACGGTGACATATCAGGCATTCAGTGCCGAGCCTAAGTCGTAAAGCTTTTACACTGACTGTACGTCGGAAAGAATCGATGGTGTTCGTTGTTACAGAGAGCCAGGGCAGTTAAATACGACCTTGGCGCAGGCATATGCCAGAGGATGCAGTAGAATAATCGCACTTGAACAGTTTTTTTACTGCTTTGTTTGCTCTTAGGGTCCTCACCTCAATAGATGGCGGCATAGATGTCACGACTTCCCGCAGCAATTTTATCTACATGCTATTGACCATCAGGACTTTGAAGACTGTTTTGTTATGCCGATTCTGAGTCCGTAGAGAGTAGCAGTCACATCGGCTTGGTGCTGGAAATACGCCAGGTTCGCAATGTCACGGTAATAACGTTTTAAATTGTCAGATATATATTCTGAACAGGGTCAGTATGTATAATAACCCGGGTTTCCCCTACTTTTAATCATCTATTGTTGTTATTTTTGTGATCCTCGTTGAAACAGCTCCCGAGAATAAAGACTTATTTCCCAAAGCTCCAACAACAGAAACATTCCATTCCGCTCTTCTGTTTGAAGGTCAGGGAGGTTACTTGGAGCCGGACCAAGCCGTGGAGTAACCCCGGGTTTATAACCTAGGGTCTTCCTCCGCCGGGACCTTGTTAACTGTGGTTGTTCTTTTCCTGGCGAGTGCTGGGTGAACGTTAGCCGTAGATCAGGGCGGTTGTTACCGACTGTTTCAACTAAACTGAACTAACAGGTTTTGTGGGGTCGTGTGGCGTAGCGGCAGAGTGCGCGACTCGGAACTTAGAGTGCCGGGTTCGAGTCCTGACATGCCACCGATCTTGTGCCCCTGGGAAAGGCACTTTACACGGCTTTCCTCACTTAGCTCAGGTGTAAATGAGTATTGTCCTGTCATGTATTTGTCCCCTGTGTTGGTGGCGGCACTCAAGTTGAAAAAAAATTGAGTGTGCCGTCACCACGTCTGGTGATTACATGTTGGAATAAAAAGAAAAAAAAAACTAACAGGTCGGGTGAAAGCCCTGTCACTGACATAGCCCCCTCCCCCAAACCATGGTTAGGGGTAGGTCGGAAGTAAGGCCGGTTGGTGTTCGGCCATGTCGACTTAGCCTCCGTGGCGGGCTTATAGAACTGGGGGTTTGGTGGTCTTCGGCTGTTTTCTGATCAGCCCAGTTAATTCAATCAGGCCGGCTATGTTGTCTATATGCAATCAGAAAATAGCACATGAAAGATCCCAAAGACCACGAAGACCCCCAAAACCCCAAGTTTTTGGCATGCTATGGAGGCTAATGTCGACTACTGTTCGGCAGGTACTTCGGCTACGCCAGCCGAATGCTTCAAAATGTCTAAAACATTCTGGTGTTTAGAGGTCCGGCAATAGTTGGCTGGCGGTTGGCTGGTGTTCGGGAGTAGGTCGAGGTTTGATTTGCAGTGAAATTTGACCCAAAGTTAACTCAAATTCCATACGATTCGTATAGAAAGGTAGGCGTGGCCTAAATCTGGTTACTAATGCTCTCGAATTTTCGAATTCAGCTAATCTCGGTCGGCTGATGTTCGGCGGAAGGTTCTGAATGTGTGACGGGGGCTTGAACATCCGGGACCTTCCAAAAGTTCCAGTTGTATCATGGGATTTTTGTCCTGTTTGTAACGTTGAAAATGTGAAAAAATCTGGATTCAAAACTTTTGAATCTTCCCTTCGGTTCCATCGTGGTGATGTATATTTATATTCCTAAGATTGCACGCTGTGTTTCTCGTTCTCATCGAAAGGTGGAGCTACAGTAAAGGCGAACCTAAAATATCACCTTTTAGCACGACCAATAATCGTGTTTGAAACCGCCCGTTTTGGAAAGTTTGTAGTAAAGATACTGGCTGGTGCAGGGAATGATGAAAAAAAGTAATGAAACTTAAAAATCAAAAATCAAAACTTTATTGTGCAACAATATTGTAACGGATACAATGTTTGGCAAACTGTTATACAGTTATGAATAACAAGTATAGTGTCTAATATACATTCATCTGTATGACAAATTACGAAACAGATATATACACAGTAAAATCTATGCTACTCTATCTATAGGAAATAGGGATTACATTACAAAGAAGGGGTATGATTGTCAGAATGTACATAAGACACGGTGTATCGTTTACTAATTATTTTATCATGTCCCATGTTCTTTAATTATGCCTCGGGCCTGAATTTACAGTAAACTTTCCATTCAACTCTATCATTAAGTAGGTTTTGTAGTCTTAGCCAGTATTGGCGTCAATGAACAATAGAAATATTCCCAGTTCAGTACCTTCAGCAGCAATAAAGGAGCTTCTTGGACCAAAGGAGTATTTTACAGTCATCAAGAACAACATACTCTAAAACGGAAATGAAATTGATACTGTATGTCTTCCTAAAGCTCTGGGATTACACCATTTCTCCAGGGTGACAAAGCCCGTCACACAAAATATTAGCTGAAATACCAACCAAGGTTGGATGAAGTTCTGGAACAGTCTGACCAGAATATTTGAGTCAAATTTGAATCAAATTTCGGAATTGCGCTTGGGAGGCCATATTCGGCTAGCCTGGGTGCCATCCGATTTTTAACGTCAACCCCGGTTGTCGTTACAAATCGGGTGGCACCCAGGCTAGTATTCGCCTATGTGTAACAGAGGCTTTGATAACAATCTTGATGATGAACAGGAAGGCAGTCTCCGTTCTACGTCTCTAAAAACGTTACCGCATATGGATCCACCTCGGCCAGCGCGGACTTGAGCTCCGTGCAGCCCCGTTCACCTTTACTCGCGATGATGTCCAGCAGTTCCCTTGCCTTGTCTTGCGGGGTGCCACGTCCATTGATATTGTCCATCTCCTCCCTGGTGATGACGCCTCCGGAGTACAGGTGGTCCATAACGGGAGCGGGGTGCCTCAGGACCTCGATTAGCTGCACACGATTGGTCCTCAGCAGGGTGACGATGTCTGTGAAGTATGGGACATTAATTTATATTGTTTAATTCATCAGGGAAAGTAACAAACACAGTAGCCATGTCATTCAAATTGTCAGAAAGTCTACAAGACCTGAGGGATTTGGCGTCATGAGTTCTCCGCTCAAATTAGCTTACCTGCCGGCGCTTGGTGTACCACAAACTGTTGGTGTACCTGGTCCTGACCTCTCGCGCATGACCCCTGACCTGCTGGCGCAGCGGGTTGTACCTGGTCCTGACCTCTCGCACATGACCCCTGACCTGCTGGCGCAGTGGGCTGTACCTGGTCCTGACCTCTCGCACATGACCCCTGACCTGCTGGCGCAGCGGGCTGTACCTGGTCCTGACCTCTCGCACATGACCCCTGACCTGCTGGCGCAGCGGGCTGTACCTGGTCCTGACCTCTCGCACATGACCCCTGACCTCCCCTCACGGCTGCTACCACCTGCTGCAGCCGCATATCAGTAGCGCATGCGCCGTGGTGCAGGCACCAGGACTCCAGAATCTGCAGAAACAAGTGTCAAATATTCAAACCAGGAAGTAAATTACAATCACACGAATATCATTTTCAATTGAAATATTTCCATTTTGGTGCAAAAATGTTGCATAATGCCCTTTAAGGGAGAGTCAGGAAACGGCGTGTATCTGTATTGTTCTCCTGTAGGTCTAAAACGAAGGGGTAACAAAAAAATTAACAGACCTCGATCAGCATGGCCCGGTTGCCTCCGAACTCCTGCTTGATGTCTGTGAGGACCTCTGACGGGAGACACAGCATTGCAGCCACCGTGTGCACTGTGTCCTCTGACAGTGGCATCTGGTCAGCCAAGCGACGAAGTACTCTGGTCATCTGACCTACACATTTGTCACATTACGCCAAGAGCCTTAGTCAAAATGTATGAGCTACAAATTACACCATATAAGACATGCAAGTCCCTTATTGTACCATAGTAGTAATTTCTTGATTACTCTAGCTACCTCGGAAGTTCAATTGTTAATTGCTTTTAAATTTTTTTTCCCTACCTGTGTGGCTGCCGACTGCCCGGTACAGTTTTCTGTGGAAGCCGCTTGTCTCGAAGCGGAGAACGTGGAAGTTACACAGGATGAACGGGATCTCATCACGGCCGATTTGGACTGGAATCAGGCGCCTCTGGCACGTGTTCATCACGTGCTCATCACGTGTTTCCAGCAGCCCTGTCAGGAACGTGGCGATCCGGAAAGACGCCGCGTTTGGTCTCCGGTCCTGCATGTCGCGAATGACGCTGGGCGTGAGGACGGCCACGGCGTGCTGGCAGTTCTCGAAGGAGTCCCGGAAGCTCGCCATCTTGTCCCCCACCCCGTCGTGGTGAGGGTCGAACACGTGAAGCCCCCAGGTGCGCCTCAGCAGCTGAATCACCTGCCTCACCTGCGCGATGTTGGGATCTGACTCGTCGTAGTAGACCACCGCAGGGTGGGGCAGGCTGCTGACCTTGTGTGGTAGGGATAGAAAGTATAAATCATTGAGACAAGGACTTCACAAGACAAGACTTAGTCAAAGGATACAGGGATTTTCTTTCACACAACCAATAAAGACTCTAGCCTAACGTTCCAATGCCTATTAGGCATCTTAGATGGTACAGTCGGACGTCAACCCCAGTGATGAAATGGAACGAGGGGGGATAGAAATTTAGCCACGTTTTGAAGCGCCATCAGCTACATGTAGCGGCGAGAAGCAGTACTCCAGTCAGAAGATCTGAGAAAGGTGTCTGACAGGCATCGACGCATAAGCAAGGTGGGCCTTTACTGGTAGTGTAAACAAAATGCCAATACCTTATGTTCTACCAACCTGATGAGTTTATTTTCGAAAGACCTAGTTAACTTTCAGCAGTAATGATAAATTTAAAACGTCACCAAATGGATTGAAAAAAGCAACATCGGAAACATTGGAAAGTGAAAACATACGGGTGGGTCTGTCCGAAGCTGTGCCATCGCCGTAACCATTTCCTCGGCTGTAGGCCTGTTCTGCTCTTGTTGTACGGTTTCCGTTGTTCGCTGTTCGGCTGCTGGTTGGTTGATTTTACCGACAGGCCCTGCTTCGTTGAGTAGCCGGTCTGTGCCACCATGTGAAAGTAACTGTGATTGGTGCTGCAATGTTTGTGCTGGAGGCAAGGTCTGTGATTCTTGCGGTGTTGTGGAGACGTCCGACCCGTCGTTCTGTTGAGTACTATTTTCCTCACCGCCCTCTTCCCTCACGCCGCTTTCGCATGTTTCTATCTGTTCGCCCAAAGGTACCTTGACCGATGTTTCGTCCTGGGAGTCAACCGAAGATAAGATTTGCTCTTCGTCGCTGTCAGTGTCGCCAGCTTCCGACGACTGCACGTCTGTTGCGTGACTTTGCTGTTCGTCTGACTGGACGTCTGTTCCGGGGCTTTGCTGTTCCTCTGACTGGACGTCTGTTTCGGGGCTTTGCTGTTCCTCTGACTGGACGTCTGTTCCGGTGCTTTGCTGTTTTTCTGGCTGGACGTCTAGATCTGTTCTAGCTCTTTGCTGTTCTTCTGACCGGACGTCCAGAACCAGATCTGGCTGTAGTTGACCCCTGTATTGGCTGGTGACCGGCTCAGCTGGTTCATCGTCAGATTCATCTTCACTTTCTCCATGCTGATCCGGGCTGGCGTCTTGGCTTGATGGATCGGCCTGTGGATCAGGCGACGTGCTGAATCCACTGCCCTGGTGGTCCGTCTGAGAAAACAGGGTGATCTCAGACCGTTCCTCCGCAGCTTCTGCTTGTACATCAGATCCATCCTCATGATCTGCCCGTAGAACGGCTGGATGTTCAGTTAAGTCCAGATGAACCTGAGGTAATCCTACAGCTGCCTCTGCCTGAGTAGTTGGTACATCAGCAGACTGGCCCCCTGCACCGCCTGATTCGCCTTGGCTGCCGTCTTGACTCATCTGGTCTTCTGTGAAGGACGACTCAGAGAAGCCCTCGTCCCGGGTCAGAATCTGTGCAGAGCTTCTGCTGCTGAGCTGCGAGCTGTCTGTATGTTGCGTTGCCGCCTTTCTCACAACTTCCCCTCCACGAGCCACAGATTTAAGCGATCCTGAGGAAGACGCGTTTTTTCTGACGCTCCCTGACCCATTGGCACGTGGTTTGGAGGACTTGGTGGTCTTCTCTGGATCATGTACCGGCGATCCTCGGGGTTTGACCTTTTGAACACTCGAACTTTCTTTGCGCTCACCCTGTTTGGTCCCGGTGGTACCCGTTACCTTGCGGGAAGGCCCGGGTGCCTGCTGACCAGCAGCGCGACGGGACACCTGAGAGCCACGTGGGGACGACTGAGAGCCACATGGGGACGCCTGAGTGGTTTGTGGTCGCTCTTCATGCCTTGTCTTCACGGCTCCACGAGGTGACAGGCCAGTAGATTGCCGGGAGGACAAGCCGGCAGATGCCGCCCCGTGTCGCGGTGTCCGTGCTCGAGTGCTGATCCTCAGGGCATCTGTCTGCTCAGAACAGAAAACAGCGTTGTCAAAGTAAACCTCCATGATGCCCGATTTTATAATAGCCTGCAACTTCTCTCAAAGCAGAGGTTTAGGTTTTGGCACGTTTTTGGCGTGTTTTTGTAATAGGCTTTTTTAGGACTTTCTTTTTTTACTGGTATCTTTATTGCGCCAGCTTCGAGTGGCAAATGGTAACACTGCTTGGCAAATTTGATCCTGTCTTGAAGCCCCCGAAAGATCTGCTTGGAGAGAAGCCAATAACATATTTTCCCATACCCACACGAAACGTATCAATTCATCACATCAACCCCTACATAGACCGCCACTGTTTACATTACTTTTATATGGATTATGGACATGAAGATGTACAGCAGGGTATATGAATGTGTGATCTTCTTACCAGCTTTTTCTTTGCTTCATTTTCAGCCTTCCTCAACTCATCAGACGACCACTGCACGTCCTTCTTCTTCACGAAGCGGCGGACAATGTCTGTTGGGGAAAACATGTCAGATGTTACCATTTGCAGCAAAGACCGCTCAAACAACCAGATGGCCAGACTGGCAACACCTTTACTCTGGCACTTGAAGGCATGACTATTTCTTGTTCTCTATTAAGTACAGAAACATGATGTGAAATCAGAGGAGATACCTAAATATAGGTATATTTTTTCAAAGAGTCGGACAATTCATCTCCCACTGCCTCCTGAGAAGAAGTCAAACTCCCTAATAGCATGACAAGAATATTCTAACTTAATAGAATAGAATAGAATAGCAGTTATCTTGTTCCTATTACCTGTTCACATATTGTATATCTACTTTTTATCCTGTATGTATACCAACGTTATTAGATTTAAGTAGAGATAGTAGGTTCGATAAGTATATTGTTCACGTAGAAGTTCATGTTAGCAAATAGTCTTATATCAACACATTTTTCTTGTCAATGTCTGTATGCAATTAGCCCTCGGGCATGAATTTGCAATAAACAACTTCATTATACCGGCTATATCGATACAGATAGAGATACAGACCTGACATGGCAGGCCTGTTGGCTGACTGCTGTCCCCACGCATCTGTAGTTATGCCCCTCATGGTGAGCGGACATGCGGCAGGAAAGTCCTGCCCTCCCCGCAGGACCGGCCGGGCGCCCTTCTGCACCTCGCCGCGGAGTTGCTCAGGACTCAGGCCTGGGGAAAGAATGATTTTGTAGATTTCCTTGTTTCATACTACACTGCAGCCCAGAAAGTGGCCTTCCGAACCCACAGGGCGTGGCTGGCAGTGAAATTTGACTCATATTTGACTCAAATTTGATTTGATTTGTATAGAAATGTGGGCGTGACTTAAATCTGGACTTTTATACCTTCCCAAGGCATTCTTAAGAAAGACAATTAAAATCAAGACCGGTCTAATTCCTTCTCAGCACTGTCATTTTCCCAAAGCTACGAATGCTTATGACTATTCATCATGTTTTTTTGTGGCAGGTATTTTGGGCGCCTTTAAACCGAGCCCAGGAGAAACTGACCTTTCCATGCCTGCTCACTCGTGATCACCTCCCAGGACAAGATGCCGTAACTGTCAGGACAAACAGAACATGTCAAATCAACCAAAGAAATGTGCATATGACTTAAACAATCATCAATCGACTGGCAGACTATGAAACTATATTCTGTTGATTCATATATCCCTTTAAATGATACCCTGAAGTAATTATAAAACGTACGGCATGTCAAATCAGGCTCCCCCCTCCAACTGCATAAGATTATTACCGCAAAAATATACTCATAGCGGACCAACTCCATCCGCATGTTATTTCTCTATTTGGCCAATTTCTACTCTTTTCAGCCGGCTCTTCAAGCATCATGGTAGAGGCTATATGATTATCGTAAAATTTTACCTGTAGATATCAAAACTGCATGTGAGAGCCTCGCTCACAGACTTCGTGAAGGCTTCCGGAGGAGCATACGGACCAGTACACACCAGTGGCTTGCCTGCAATATCCCCCGTATCACCACCCTGCCTGTTGGAGGCTAGACCCCGCCATTCACTTAAGCCGAAGTCTGTAACCTAAGAAGGCATTGGCACATCAGGGATTGATCGATTGAGATCCCGAAACAAGTGAAAACAAATCGATAGATAGAAAGGTAACATTTTCGAAGCAAATGCATAAATGTTTACCTTCATATGGCCTAGCCTAGCCTAACGTACTACTGCCCTGTTTGTGGTCGACTTAAAAACATTCACATGCTAGTATATGGTGACCAGCCCTCCCCCAACTCTGTCCAGCCACTTGCTACATAATGTAACCCGACACCACAAGGTTGTACATACGGTCAGACAGGAGTCTAAATCCCTCCTGCTATAACATTGCAACATGATGTAACCCAACACTAGTTGCCATGGTGACAGACGTCTGGTTCTGGTCATGGACCCCATTTGTTTGGAGAAGAAGAAGAGGAAACAGAGCAAAAACAATATTTTTTCCTTCGGTTAAACATAATATTATTTTTAAAAATGGAAAACATTTACAAGACAAACCTTCGCGACCAAGTCGTCGGAGATGACGACATTATGACGTGAAAGGTTTCCGTGCACCACGTGATGCGCATGTAGGTACTTCAGGCCCATAGCGACCTCTCTCATGACCTTGGCTCGCACGGCCCAGGGCGGCCTCACTTTTATCAGCTGCCGTCAGGAAAAAGTGGAGGATGATGATTATCATCGTGAAAACTCACAATCTATGTTGTTACTAACTTGCTATGTAAATGATTAACATTTCCAATAATGTAGTGAACAGCAACACCCACTGTTTCCCTGAGTACATTTCACTTGCACAACGTCAACCGTTCAAACATATATGACACGCAAAGCATGGTATTCAATTCATCTCTTATGCTCCATGATTCATTGAGACAGAACTCGACCGGTTTGTCTTTCTCAAGAATGACAGATTCTACCATTCCCCCTTTTTATACTTGCTCTGTGCCTCCCTACATTGCAGGGATCCCTAATTAACCTTTGTTTGCTCCATGATTTGAGACCGAGTATCAGTTATTACCTCCTCCACGGGTCCAAACTCCCCATACTCCGTGAGGAGGCTATAGTTGTCAGGGCGCAGTACCAGTCCGTACAGTCGGGTGGCGTTGTCGCAGCGCAGCCGGTACAAGGCCTTCATAGCCTCACGAACCTTCTCCCTGTAAAGTAAGATTCAGTCGTTATCATTGCAGTTGTTGGTGTCCGTCAGAGTTCCCCTGTACCCATGACAACTGACAAAATACGTGATAAAACTCAACGCTTCTTCAAAACGCCTTTATTACATATCTTACCAAGTGCATAAAGTAAATGTAAAATCGTTATCCTATGAACGTTAACGTTACATTTGGTTCCTCAACTAGTATTATACGCAGCAGTCTTAAAATGAAACATTTGAAGGTCGGCTTACTACATGTATTAACGAGAAAGTATAACAAGTAAGCGCGTCGGCAGAAACCCTGATTTTTCACAGTTTTCGTTGGTCACCGTTGCATACGAATTTTGCCTGCTGCAGAAGATATCTTTTCCTACATAGCATTTGGAAACTACAGACGGGATGTTAACATTATTTACGTGAATACAACCTTATATGAGACGTTCTGCTGAAGTGCTATGCACAATACATCACGGGTTTCGCGCAGGTGCAGTTTGTTCTGTCGACGTGCTTGTCAAGAAAACATTTAGTTGTCTTTGCGGAAAGCATCATAAACGCAATTAGAAAATGTTGAGATTATAAATTGCTCACTCCTGTTCTGTAGGTAGTGTAGCGACGACCCTCTCGGTCACCAACCCGAAGCTGCTGTGCTCACTTCGGTACACCTGGCCGAACGTGCCACCGCCCAGCAGCGCCTCTCTGCGGATGTCTGCGGAATCACACAGTAACTCTGAAATAGAATAATCAGACTAAACCTTAGGTCGAGAAAGGTTAAGCATCCAGGTAATGAGATACACGGGGAAAACAAAGTTACTCACTGGCAACTGGATAGATTTTTAAGCTAGTAGCATCCATTACTTTTCGTCAGTGACCAGGGGAATCTTTAGCTGAACAGGTATTTAATTTATCCAAAAAGTATAAATTGATATTCCGTTGGTTACTGACGAAAAGTAGTGGATGCTACTTGAAACGTCTGACAAATTTCAAAACCTATCCAGTTACTTGAGTGACTGTTTTCCTCTGCAGACTGAACCTTATGCACTACGGTACCAGTCATAGCATTTACATGTTACATCTAGTCACCTTCACCGAGGCCTGAGGTGAGAACATAAATTCACTATCACTGATTAAGTAAGTCACTCGTCGTCTAGTATCGACTTCATTTCCTTACCTTCATTTGACGACATGGCGAGACACCCGTGACTAACTTTGTGCTTCTGTAGTACCTATCGATGTTTGGTAAAAGAAATGGGAAGGGTTATTTCATGTTTGATATTCATATATCAGGCCTGTATTTTGTACGTACACGGCGTTTTGCTGGACAAAGCCAATTACGAACGTTGGATATATGCCCCTTAGTATTTCCGATCACACGAAAGTGTACTTTAGCATGAAAGTTCATCTGAGTTGGTAAATTACATTATGAAAAACTTAAACTTTTCTCCAACTCAAAATTTGACTCACCAGAAATTTTCGACTGAATCACTCAGTCTTCCTCAGCTATCTGACCCAAATGCTGTACTTTGTCTTTTTCTTGCTTAAAGGCATCCAATGTAATTTCCGTGCAATTCCCATGATGACATAAATTTTACAGCCATGCTGTTGACCACGAAGCACGTACGTATCACATGGGCTATTTCAGCTTACACATTAGTGAAGGATAAGTCCACATTTATGATAAATATCTGTATATACTTTTCTAGTCACAACTTTAGTCGTGCGTCACACTCAGTCCTATCGACCTCACCTGTGCAGGTGAAGAACTCCCTACACTTTCCACTTCCCCAGCTTCTTAAGGTGTCTTGTAGTTAAGTGTTTCCCTCCATAAACCTTCAGGTGCTCAGAAATGTTCCTTGTTAGTCCCCAGGTGCTCAGAGCTGACTTGACAACATAAACTTGGCAGATCCGCTTCACCTACTACAACCCGGAAGTAAGTTGGAGGTAGTTTTGTTGTCGTAGTTTCGAATCCGTTTTGTCTCGCCAACTCTCGCGAGACAGACAGTAAGGCGGGGGTGTTGTTGTGTTTTTGTAACACGTGTATATTTAAAGCAGTAAAAAAGTTAGTAACAGCCTCCAGACTCACCGTCAGTCGCCAACTGTTCCTCCCCACGACACCCCAGATTGTATAAGTGGACGGATAAAGTAAGTAAGTAGAAAAAGTATATTTGCTACACCAAATGTACGTCTCCAAGACGAATACAACTTTAAAAGAGTGTCCCTACTTCAACTCTCTGAGACAGGGCGGTCGGCTCGGAACCAAGAGGTCCCGAGTTTGAATCCTGCCATGCCAACAATCTTGTGTCCTTAGGAAAGCTAAGGCACTTTACAGTGAGGACGTCTGTTGTCGGTGAGTTTGTCAGCGTTGGTGGCGGCATAAAAATAAGTTGAATTCGAAAAACTTGAGTGTGCCGTAAATGTTGGGATAGAAAAATAGAAAAAAAAAACTCTATAAAAAACTATACTTTACCAAATTTATTGAACTGTTGTGCGGTTCAACAGTTTTCCTAATAAGACAGGTGGGGAAATTCCTACAAACTACGCTAGCTAGATATGAGCGACAAGCAATTGAAACAGCATTTTTTTTAAGTTGTCGTTATTTTTGTATGGTTCATTGTTAAATATAGCATACCTTGTTGTTATGCGGTTCTTAATCTTTAGACTTGATACATGTGTGATATGATCGTCTCTTGTTTATTTTATAACTCAATAACTAGGCTGTAACTTTGTAACTTTGTGTTGTGAATGTTTTGCATATTCCTACGGGCCAAGTATATCCATGTCATCCCTTCTTATATTTTCCCCCAACTGCGCTGGTTGAATAAGAGTGTAGTGCATGTATTTACTAAGCAAGATTTGAAGTGTTGGCTATCTGAATCTTACAACTGTTTTAGAAACTTTCGCCAAGGGATTTTGATATGGGAACCCATAGTTTCAATGTGGGCGAAATGGAATTTTCTTAAGAACTTCCATGTTCCGCCCACAAGAGAAGTGAAGGAATGCACATAATGTACTACTTCCGGTGACAGGTGCACGTACTGATGCACATGCGCAGTACTCTCATCCAATATGGCCGCCGACTTCCCACTTCCGTCAATGACAGGAGAATTTGCCGGGATATTCCGCCTGATCTTCGCTCAATTCTACACTTTTACAGGTACGTCAAATTCCTGCACATCTACATGATCCTAACCAACAGTATAACACACATTGTGACCAACAAACGGCAGTATTTGGGTGCAATTTTGCCGATCTGGGGCGTGGTGTTCGCTCAAGGTTTACAAAAATCAGAGCTATAAAATCTGACACAAATTTATTTATCCCCACGATATTGCCTTATTTTGTCAACATCACTTCAATTTTTAGAAAAATTATTTCGTGTATGTTACACCGAAGGCTATTGGATAGAGACAAGGTAGAAGGAATGTTTGTTTTTTGGCAGAAGTTTGGCCTTATATGGGTCAGATATTGCCAACACAGCTCAGTTCTAGGCTCCACGTCCCAGAGCTATCTTCCGTGCATATCAATATTGATTAGGGGAAGGGAGGCAAGCAGTGAAATTCGAGCCATGGGAAAACCTGTCTGTTTTAGCTGACCGTAGCCTGGATTTCAGTCGGATACAAACGTGAAACGTAGTTTGTGGTCCAGGGTTTAAAAAGGGAAGTTAGGTAGTGCACCGAATGTTAAGTTAGAATAATCATTGTTTTTTTATGGTGGATTAGCCCCCTCCTGTGTTTTGATAACATTACACTGATACAGCTGGGTTTCGTTAACATTAGACAATAGTCAAAGAAAAGTCTTAATTTCCTTCAGATGTGATTGTTTACAAATGTTCCTTTTTTTATTGATGACTAATACCGTTATCTGATTCCTGTTTCCTACCCCCACTGCCTTGTTGTCGTCACATGTGACCTTTTGACCTCACATGTACATGTACTCAGACTGTGCCTATCTTGATTAAACAGTAATGCAAAGTCATTTCATATAATTGTAATCACAATAATGATTCTTTACTGGAATAGATTTAACTGTAAGAGTACCATCAGTGTGAAATTTTGGAGGTTTATCGTACTAAGTTCTTGCCCAGCGGCTAATTTCAGTACATGTATGATATAACATGAGAATATAAAGGATGGACAGTGATAACAGTATATCATATCACTACTCTAAATTTTTACACTGAATTCTTACTTATTGAGTTCAACTTCTTTTTCTGAGGCACTGGAAGACTTGTCTATGATAATGTACATGGGTTTTGTGTTAAGAGCAGAGTAGTTTTCTTTTTGTCTGTGTCTCTGTGAATATGGAGAAATTGGATGTAATTTATTGGCCTCTTCAAACAGGTCATCTCTTTTGTACAAATTTAATACCAGTAATAGTAGTATGGTATTCTCTGTGTCAGAAAAATTATCAATAACCATTTATTATTATTTTGATGAGCAATAATGCCTAGGTAATCATTTGCGCAATTCTTATGATATGGATGATACACTTCTTATATTTACTGTAATAGCATTAAGGAATTTAGATTTTAGGCAAGCTTAACATCATTGACTATCAAGAGCATAAACAAATTAAGCATGCAACTTGCCTTAGTGTTTAGCTTGTTATCATGAACATTATTTCAACTATTAAAGATTTAAACAATATTTTGATTTGCAAAACTTTGCCCACAAAAACCTCAGCCCAGTGTTTACAAAACAGCACTCACTTCCCATGAAGGGGGCTTGTCAAATAGTGTGTTACAAAGGTCAAGCAGTTAATGGCTTACAGATTCGGTTTTGAGAAAATATTGTAAAGAAACTCCAACCACTTCTGTTATTTAAGTGGAAAATCCATTATTGCAAAGTGGCACTTTCGACGGTAAACACAAGTTATAATACTTACCAGTATACTAGACTCTGTGGTGGAATGGTATAAATTACTGTAATTAATGCTATACTGAGCACTAGTGCAATTTTCTCCATTTAAATTCTACAAAAAAAGCTCTGATAATCTTTGTGACAGCCTCTGTCAAATATAAGTATTCTAAGGACATTTGATATAACTAAAATGTGTTTAGTCTATCAGCTATGATTGAAATAACAGCAAAGCTTTTTAAATTTTACGTTTTGTATCTGTCACTGGTGCTAATTTATTTGTTTTACATTATTCTGTCATGATGCATAAATTTCGACAAATTTAGATATGTGTATTATTGTCACCACTGTTTAATCAGACATGAAAATTAGTGTATTTACAGTAGTTTCAGCAGACAGCTTGTCCAGAGTTCACAATAAAGTATTCCCAGGGGAGTACCAAATTGTCATCAGGCATTTCACCACTCAAGCTGAGATACTAGCCATTCTGTCTGTCTCCATGGGGTGTTATCTTTAGTTATTATCTTGGATTGAGTACTATGAATTTATGGTCAATTTCTTTCTATGTTGATTGTAGTATACAGGTACAGTATTTTGTTTTTATAGCTTGGGTATATTACATAATTTTGATGTCATGGATATGTCATGCAATGACATTCATAATATACATGTAACTTACATGTACTAGTAACACAATTTTCTGTGAGTGTGAGAAAATTTGTAAACTATCTGTTTCATATTTTGCAATGATATTGATATGTTGCACTGTGTTACTGATTTTAATAATCATTGGTTACACCTTGTTAACACTTTATTTGATATATTTTCATTGTCCAATACCTAAAGCATTATGTTTGAACAGGATAAGAAGTGGGTAGTTCCAGGTCTAGGCAAAATATGAAGTCTGTATGAAGTCCCTAGGCTTTGGAAAAAAATGTGGCCCTTTTTGTGTATGTGGTTACCTTCAAGAGACATAAATGTTTCGAGCTGACCAACCTTTTTCTAGCTCCATGATCTGACACCTGAGTGTTAAAACGTTGTTCAATCGGTTTTCCAACATTGACATTGATAAAGGTATTATATAAGCAAAGAGCTCCTTGTTTTAAAGTCGGATTCTCTCCAGAGATCTCCAAAGTAGACATGAAAATGAAAAAAAGATGATTCCTACCTACCGACCTTATTTTTTTCAGGACCGAAACAGGAAATGTAACATTTCCTTCCCTAGGCCCTAGGTTTTATGCAGAACTGGAAACGAAACTGTATTACATAAAGGGAAGGGAAGGGACAGGATACTCGGCTGCCCACATGGGACAAATTTTGTTTAAAACAGACTCCCTGATATCTCTTTTACAGGAAATGACTAACCCTCCCGCCCCCCTCCCCTCCTGTGTACCACCATGGGGTGACCGCATGTCTGGTGGGTTGTGTGAACAGTGCCTCTTCCTTCCCAAAAATTCTTGGACTGTAGACAGTTTATTTTGGCTTGACCCTGATTTCCTAGGCCATCGTACAGTAATCCCCCATCTGACCAGGAGCCAATCGCGAAGCTGGATTCATCCGTAGGTCGTGCAAGATTGATTTGTTACATAATTGAAATTAAAGGGCATGGACGCACTATACTGAATGATGACGCCACGGTATACAATTAGATTAGAACTCTCAGAAAATTGAATGTACATACAGAAAAGTCATGGTAGGAGCACTGCCATTTTTGGTAACTCTGGCATGAAGGAAATTTCCATTTCTTTTATACACAATAACTGAGGCATGAAGTCTTTTATAAGAGTTTAATTTTTTCCGGGCCTGACCAATTTGATTTGTTGGCTTTTATGGCTCCTATCGTAGCATTTGGGGCTATAATAGGATACCTAAAAATGTTTTCATTTTTTTTTTTTTTCTGTCACTTCATATTTCTTTCTGAAAAACCAATTCAATAAATCAAATTGTTGTGGCCTCAGATTAAAATAGAAAATTCATGTACATGTATTTTGAACTGCATAAAACTAAAAGGTCACCAATTTAGACTCCTGGCTAATACTATTGCATTGTACATATCAAAACAACTATAACATACAACAACAATATGGGAGACTAGAGTTCATTCTATAGTATGTCAATTTCAGTATTTCAATTCAATTTATTATAAATTCAACCTGCCAAAAGTACAAGTTTGACATTTTTATCTTGCACAAATTATCCTGTGACTGTTGTGTCCAGGAAAACAAATTAGAGCCTTGTAGATACAGGACCATGTATCATCCTTGGCTTATGTTTCCTCTTGTTAAGGGAAATGTTTATCTTGAGAAGCCCTCAGTTAGCCTTGATGTCATTTCTGTCCCTGTCAGAGTACTGTAATTCACTTTATGTTCACGGTAGCAGAAATTTGCAGTCTGAGAAAAATGGAGGTATATATTTGGTCACGTTGGCAGCAGGTGCAGAAAAAAGAAAGTCAGGGAATTATGATTGAATATTATTATTTGTAAATGGTTATTATTCGCAGTTCAGAAGTGAAAACTATGAACATTAGAATACTGTGAAAAAATCAGGAATTGCAGTATTACAGCAATGGAGGTGTATATTTGTATTTGGTCACGGTGGCAGCAGGTGCAGAAAAAGTCGGGGATTTATGTATTTATGATTGAAGATTATTATTTGTAATGGTTATCATTCGCAGGTCAGAAGTGAGTACGAAAAACGTGAACATTTAAGTATCGTGAAAAAATCAGGACTTGCAGTATTACAGCACTGCCTGCAAATGGGTTGCTAATGAGGACTGATCCATGCGCCATGCAGGGGGGATTTGTTTCTCAGTACTACGAGATAAAGATAACTCGTTTACATATGTTCATTGTTATTTGTTAATTATATTTTTGGGATATCCAGTATTAATTAAAACAAACAGATATGTGACAGGTGAAACCGTTCTAATTGATTAAACGGGAAAATATTGATTGTAATTTTTTACCACACCCCCGGGATTTGGTGCACTCCTGTTGCCCCTATAGGCTATGAGATTTGTATGATGTAGGAGACAGTCTGGAGTTGTGCATGTATTATGGATGAGATGATCCTGTGAGTGCTATCTTACATGCTCTGTAAAATCTACACCCACACAGGAGAGCTACATTGTAGCTTACTGTTTAGGCCTAGGAATAAACATGTTTTGTTTCCTGTTTCCCGACCGACCATAGCAAAATCCTTTTTTTTTTTGCTTGCCTGCAGTGCTGGTAATAAGGCTATGAAGTTTTCGATCTGACATTTGAATGTCAATTCCTCTTGGAGTGTTAGGGTCTCAGACTGTATGCCCGGGTTTGATTCCCAGAAGACAGATTTTCCTGTTTCATCTTGCCCAAGTTTGTGGTGCTTGAACCCCAAGTTGTTGGTGTTACACTTAACAAAAATCTTCATAGACTGAACTTACAAGGCTGAGAAGGAAACGGGTGAAAATTATGAACGAATGAAGAAACAAACAAACAAACAAGCAAACCAAGAATGAATGAACAAGTGAACGAAGAATGAATGAATGAATGAATGAATGAATGAATGAATGAATGAATGAATGAATACCTTTTTTTCAATTGTGTCTGATAAAGTAAAGTCCACATGTGTTTAAGAAGACCAAAACCTGTATTTTTTCAGGCTAGATGTAGCAGGCCCCACCCCCCAGTCCCAACCATGAATATAATGCGGAAGTTCATGGGCCGTGGCCGCCCGGCCGGTGATGATGCCCCCACGCAGGACAACTCCCTGGGGCTGATGCACCTGAGAAGACTGTTCATGGAGCTCTGCCACTCACCCACAGCTATGTCACAGACTGAACAGGAGGACAAACTATACATGATGTTACCTCTCTTCTGTAAGGTAAGGAAGAACAAGTACTTCTGAAAATGATGTACATGTACTAGATCAGAGTCTCTACCTGAGAGTGAGAGAGAGAGAGAGAGAGAGAGAGACAGACAGAGGCAGGTAGAGAGACTGACAGAGACAGAGAGACAGTAACAGAGAGAGAGAGAGACAGAGACAGGGAGACAGAGAGACAGTAACAGAGAGAGACAGAGAGACACAGACAGAGACAGAGAGAGACAGAGAGAAAGAAAGACAGAGAGAGAAACAGACACAGACAGACAGACAGAGAGAGAAATTTAAAGAGAGACAGGGAGAGACTGAGAGACAAAATTGAAGACAAGATTTTCAACAAGTGTGCTCATGTTTATAAAAAAAGCACCGGCAACGATTGTTTGTGTTTATCTGTTGTGTTCTTGATGAATCGTTCTTTTCATAGACTGATGAAATTGTTTTTGGATGCAAAATTACAATGTATGCAATTGAATTCATAAGATTTTCTAAAAAGGCATTCAAGTTCTTAAGATACAAATTTAAAGTGATACTATTACCGTCACAAAATTGATGTTGCGTGTCCTTTGGCAGGTGTTTGGGAATGCGTCGGCCACAGAGATGACAGAAAAGTTTGGAGACATCCTGCAGTTCAGCAGCCACTGTGGCAGACTGATGGTCAACGAGATCAGGAGACGAGCATCCAACAAGTCTACAGGTAAGGTTACACCTACAAGGTCTTTCATTCATGTATTGCATGTACATTCAGTTGTAAATAATTTCAATACCATGCCAAATCACTACTCAAAAGCTCTTACACAAAACACAAAACACAAACTCTATTGAAGATATAATATGGCAATAGTGATAAATGATTTTTTTCAGTCTGGCTATAATGTGAATTACAGATCGCTTAATTTTTCTTCTGCAATATTGAATATGTTTGCAAAATGCAATCTGCAGGTGGGTATTTCTAATGTTTTGCAACATTTGCTACTGGGCGCTATTGTTGAAGCTGGCAATATTCATACTGTGATAATTTTTGAATAGTAAAGTTCTTTTATTCACAACCATTTATTTAACAAGTCTGTTATCTTCGTTTGTGAGGGCTAATATGACTGTTTCAATGTGCACTGGAGTTAGGTGTTACATGGTTCACTGTGCACTGAAGCTACAATTACAAAGTACAAATGTAGATTGTTACTGTAACAATGCAGTCCCTAGTGTAAAATGGTTGTGGGTAAAAAAACTTTCTATTTGTTACTATTCAATCACTCACCAAGCTGAAATTATTGACGAATGTGACAATGTTTGGTCCACAGAGGCTGCGAGTTGTTCTATTGTCGAGTACTTAGAGATTAAAACTGTGGAGGAGACCAGCTGTGGATGGATGTTACTCACCAGTCTCAACCTGCTGGCTGCAGGAGGAAAGGTTTGTTTGTTTGTTTATTTGTTTGTTTGTTTGTTTTTGTGTGTTACATGTACATGGATGTGATCACAAGTCATTGATAGCCATTGATTGGACACAAACAAAATACAGCCCTTGGGAAAGGCACTTTACATTGACTTTCTCCACTAGACTCAAGTGAAAATGAGTATTGTCTGTCCAGTATCCGTTTCTGTGTGCGGGACACAACACAAGCAACAGCTGCATCTGCTCCGCGTGTATTGCACTGTTGCAATTTCAATAAAATCAAACAAAATACAGTCAAACTTGCCCAAGCGACCACCTCTATATACTAACCATGGACAATATGTTAATTCCCTGGCACATTTGAAAAGTGCAGATCATACTAAACACTGTTAAGAAACCAATTCCACCATTTCTTTTATACCTCATAGCTGGTAACAGTCAATGCAGCAAATAAAAATCCACAATATCATACACCTACATGTGTGTACATTTTGTATAAACCCAGTGCAGGTAGAAAATACCTGCACAGCCTCAATTTAACCTGCAAGTACTAATTATAGTATACATGTAATTATATTACTAAGATGCATATGCATCCAGTATTTTGAGCCCTGTATATACTCTACTACTCTTACTCTAAATTATTGTGTTAGCCTCTACTGTAGTGTGCTAAACTTGACTAATGATCCAGACTAGTCATGACTATTGTACTGTTAGTAACAGGTGGCACGCCCATGTTGTCTTGACTAGGCAGGAGATACTGAAACAATTGTCTTGCATAAAGACACGTAGATTAAGGTTGCTGATAAGTCATGAATATGCAAATTTTGGTCGGATCTAGCCCGAGTTGTCCAACCAGGGGACTTTCAATAGGTGTGAAGACAACGTCTAATTTTCCTGAGGTCATCAGTAGTGGTACATGTAGATTCATTTGCCAACATGGCTGGATTGTAGCAGCTGTTATGATAATGTAGTTTTCTATCTATTCGGGCAAGAAGGACCTGTGAAGGATTTTGGTGCTGAAGCTCTGCTGTTCCAGAAGGAACAAGCCATATCTTAGCAGATTTTATACACTGTACTGGACTCTGAACAAGCCAGGTGTTACGGGAAACCTTTTACCAGGAAACCAACCATCTGATACTGTAAGTTCAGCTGTATCCAGTATACTTCTGTGCAGTGCGTAGTGAGGACATGGCAATGACAAGAGGGCGCATAAGATCGTCTTCCCTGCAGGACAGTGTACTGTACCTGTTTGGGCCACATCAGAAGGAAAGAGAAATAACACTCGAGGAGAAGCCGTACTTTTCCAAGCTACGGATGTGTAGAGAAATCCTGCTTGCCGGTAGGGGACTCCTGTTTGGGATAATGTCAGGACTCGGGTATCTTGGTTGTGCCACCATTGGACACATCTTGGTCAAACAGAAGGGTTTCTCCGGGTTCCAGACGATAGCGTTGAGCATGCTGTTTTCCGCGGCCGCGTTCGTTCCGTGGGTTGTCGTGTGCAAGCCCCCGCTAACAGAGGGTGACTGGAAGTTGTATCTATCGCTGGTCGTAATGGCTGTGGCACAGGCGGTGTCAGGAATCGGGATGTTACTGGCGGCCTACCTCCTCCAGTTGGCGAACATGTACGCGATTATCAGCGGCGCGGTTCCCGTTTTCATCGCCATCATTTCGTACCTGTTCCTGCGGGAACCTCCCAGCGTCGCCGACGTTCTCGGAATCCTCATCAACATCGCCGGAATATCGTTCATCGCGGCCGGAGAGCTTCACAACAAAGTCATCATAGACGTTTCCAAGAACGTGACGTCGCACGGAAACGTGCTGGTTTCACCAGACGAGTGGTGGAACGTTGACCCCAGCCTGAACAGGGCCCTCGGAGTCGTGTGCGCCATTTTGTCAGCCTTCGCCTCGACAGTCGCGTACTCCCTTTCCCGTACCAGTCGCGTCAAGGAATCGCACCTTATGACCATCTTGGTCTACATGTCAATCGCTGGAATCGTTCTGTCCTTGCCTTGGATGTACGTACTCGGAAAACCAAAGTGGGAGATGAGCAGTTCGGAAGGATCCCTGTTTATTGGCATGGGTGTGTCGTATTCCGTCGCCCTGTTCTGCGTGCATTACAGTCTACGGCTGGAAAAGGCCACGACGGTCACCATTCTCCGCAACGTCAATATCGTCTTCTCCTTCATCATTCAGTATGACATCCTGAACATTGTGCCGACTGTTTTTGAGATTATTGGCTCTGTACTGATCATTGTGAGCATCACGCTTGTGACTGCGTATAGCTGGTACATTAACTGGAAGAAAAGAGTAGCCAGAAAGTTGCGGGAGTACCTGAACCTTGATGAGTCCTCAGATCTAGAGGACGAACCTAGATAATATATGGCTTTATTTTGTTCATAGAATTGATTCAAATAGCGAATTCAAGCACTTATCAGCATGCAACAACCCATGCATTGTAGATATAGGACAATGTAAGTAATTTTTCTATAATGCCAAAACATTAGACATTTCCAATGCTTAAATCCATACTACATGTACATGTACATAGTCTTGTGTAAGGTAGATTAGTCTCATTGGCATACATGTTGTATGTTTTCTGTTATACATTGTACCTAATGTACACGTATACCTTGTACAATTGTTGTGCAATCAATGCCTGAGGCCTTATAGAGGAAACAAAAAAATGCTGTGTCTCCGGTTTACCGACTGACACTCGATGCAATTAAAGTTTTAAATTGTTGGATCATTCTAGCCCAAATCTAACAAAGAAACCAAAAATTAAAGAAATACCCTATCTACACATTTTGGTACCAACCCAAATTTTTTTTCTGGACTGAAACTGGAAACACAACATTAATTTTTCTAGGCCTGACTGTTGTGCAGTCTCTTGTTATTGGAACCTTGATATGGTTCTACTACTAGCATGTTACCAGTAACATTAATGATTATTTTGCTGTATATTATGACATTAGGTAACTTAACCTCTCAGTTATACTTATAGATTTCTCGGTCTTGGCAAAGTAGATCTAGGTTTCTTTCTTGCAATATGCATCAGAGAGCTGTACCATACATATTATTAGAAAAAAATGTGCCAATGTTATAAAACTTAGTTTGTAGTATTAAACATTGCTAGTTTTTAATTTTACATCTGATTCATCATCTTTGATATTCTAAATGTTTATAAATTGTTTATAATCATTTGTAAACATCTCCTTATGTAATACTAATATGTACTGTGTTATTGTTGTAGAAAATGAAATATATACCACCATTATGTAATGGAACAAGACTTATGTACTACTAGGATATTGTCAGTTTTCACAGGGTATCATAAGAATTTTTTGTGCCAGTAACCCAAATCATTCCCAGCACAACATAATTACCTTGTAATAATACTATGTAGTATTACAAAGTGATCATACTTTTTGTTGTTGTTTTACTAAGTAAACTATAATGCATAAATACTACTATGATGTAGTACAAATAAAGTGTAAAATTTAAAGATAATACATGTGCTGTTTGTCTGCCCTTCTTGAGGTATTCTTCTTAAGGTATACTAGTACTTCACTTTACATTACATTACAATTATCGTGCAATCTACAAGAATTATAGCAAGTGAGTGAATGGTGACTTATTATTATTCGTAAAGCAAATTTCATAATCTACATTGTAATTAAGCAGTGTTACTGTCACACCTACATGTACACCTGAGGGCTTGATCATCTCTGATTGGGCAATCGACATCCAATGTGGGTGATTCCATTATTATTCTAGCACGGGGTGGGACAGCTTATCATCAGTCACTTACACCTGAGTCAAGCAAGGAAAAAGGTGTTGAGTACCTGTCCCAAGGGTCTGCCAGGGATTCGAACCCAGAACCTTTGGATTCTGAGTCAACAATCCTGATAACCACAAGACACCACCTTGCCACCTATCTGGAAATTCTACATGCAGTTATGCAGCTCCTGTTCTGTATAACAGGAGCTTTCTGACTAATTTGCATTATCTTGTCTTGACTTGTCTGACTTTTGTTCCTTTTTCGACTTCCAAAAATTTGTCTTCACTTTATTTGCATATCGTTTGTGCTTATAAACCTGCATTTCCCCTCTGGTCTCTCAGTCACTGACAAAAGCTAGTGGATACCAGCTGAAACGTCTGACGTTTTCAAAATCATATCCAGTTGCTTGAGTAACTGCTTTTTGGCGTATCGTATTACCTGGATGTCTAACCTTCATCGACGTACATGCAGTTATGTTTCAAATGAGTACATCAGCAGAACGTATTGCACCTGTGCGAAACCCATAATGTATTGTGCATAGCACTTCGGCAGAACATCTCATATAAGGTCATATTCGTGTAATACATGTATATGGTTAACATCCTGTCTGTAGTTTCCAAAATTTTGATGTTATGTTGGAAAAAATATGTTCTGCAACAGACAAAATTCTAGATCTAATAGAAAGTTGAACAAACATCCTACGGAAGCTGTAAAAAATTAGGGTTTTGCGCAGGGCAACTTACATTTTGTCAACATGCTGTTCAAACGTGTCTTCAGTATATGGTATGTTTTTTTTCTTGCAGGAAATTGTTGACTGTATGACGGCCCAGTCTCTGCCTTCCACCCTGGTCAAGTGTCTCTACCTGTTCTTTGACCTTCCACCTGTGACCCCTGACCCCCCACTGTCACCAGAAACAGAGGTCACAGGCAATGAGTCAGAGTTCACCCCGTACGAGAGAAGAGTGTTGTTGCAGAAAGTATTTGTGCAGGTATTTGTTGACTCACAGAACATCATTCTCATTAAAAATTAAAATTTTGTATTTACTGAAAATACATTTTGTATAGTAATCCCTCAGATACTTTGACTGCACGTGCCAGTAGATGGTTTGAAAATGGATATAAATTTCCTACAATAGTACAAAGCAGCAAAAATGTTATTACTAGTATGAAGGCAAAGGGTGGCTTTTGGAACATGTACATTGTCATTAATCACAGTGACTTGAAATTAGTGAAAATATTTATGCTCATTTGGCAATTTAAAAAATGTAGCTGAACATTAATTTAGATTTAAGGCATCCAATTTCAGGCAAGTAAGTCAATTTTCTCAACCAGAATATTTCTTGTTTTGCTGCCCTGAAATTGCATCGGATGCCTTTAAAGTAGCTATAGTTAAATAACTAAATAAATTGAAGCAATATTTTAGTTGTGTAGTATCCAATGTTACTACTGTCTTTCCCCCCCACAGTTACTAGTCAGGCTGTGTAGCCACGTGTCCCCAGCAGAGGAACTAGCCCAGAAGGATGACCTGACACTGTTGTTCAGTGCTATTACCAGCTGGTGCCCACCTCACAACGTTCCGTGGAGAAAGAGCGCTGCAGAAGTCCTCATGACCCTGTCCAGACATGGCCTGAGTGATCCAGTGGTCAACTACATCCACTGTAAGCAAGGGCATGCACTTCTGTAAAAAATTAAGGCCATGTTAATTTGGTTATGGATGACATCCACACGCACGTGAATTTTCGTCTGTTTCCAACAAAAAAAGTTTTCGACCATACTGTAAGAAGCAGCTGCAAAATAAGCAAATATATGCGGTCATAAATTGCAAAAAATATATATTGGAAAAAGGTCATACCAATGTCTTAGAATGCCAAATTCAATCAATTTCAAAGGAAAATGAAGAGTCTATTATTCACTATACCATACTCTGTGTGTTTCGTCATTTGTTACTAAATAGGGAAATACATTAAAGAATGTTTAAATCTTAGAGACTTCATGTTAGAGAATAGTTAAACCTTTAATGTTGCTGCTGACATATATTCCGTACGTAGTTTGCCGCATACATATATTCTGTACGTAGGATGGCTTTATTCATACATGTATTTAGCTTTGTTAGAAATAAGTTGTAGAAGACCATACAGAAGTCCCTGTACTTTTTGTTGAGTCAATAAAGAATCTCTGTTGCCCTGACAGCTAAACAGTGTGTAGCCCTGTGTGTGGACAACATGCAGCGGAGTCAGGAGTTGTCGCCGCTGGAGATTGTGGAGATGTTCGTCACCGTGTTCTGTTTCCTGAAGGACTCCAGCGAGGTGTCTCAGACCCTCCTGGATGACTTCAGGTCATCACAAGGGTACAACTTCCTGGCAGACTTTCTCCTCAGGTATGTACAGGAGTGTATACAGTTTGTTACCTCTGTTTGTAAAGGTTGTTTTGTGTCTGTGTCTCTACGTAAATACTATGTGTTTGTTAGTACCTGTGTGTGTGTGTGTGTGTGTGTTCTGTGTGTGTGTGTGTGTGTGTGTGTGTGTGTGTGTGTGTGTGTGTGTGTGTGTGTGTGTGTGTGTGTGTGTGTGTGTGTGTGTGTGTGTGTGTGTGTGTGTGTCTTTACCTCCATGAAAAATGGAGGTATTTTTTTGGCATGTCTGTGTGTGTGTGTCTATCTGTGTGTCTGTGTTTCCACATGGCTCTCAGGTTAGGTTGCAATGGGTATGATTGGCTGCAGTCTGTTCCAGAGGGAGAAAGTCATTAATCACAAAAAAAACTTTACAGTCGTTAATACATGTATGATGTAATGTTGATAGTGCATTACAGTTCACTGTCACGGTGATTGTTTGTATGTCTTTTTAAAGGACATTCCTTTTTCTACAGACAGCACATCCCTTTTTTTCCTACAGTTTGTACATGTATGTCATTTTAAAGAATGATTCCTTTTTCTACACACCCTTTTTACCTCCGGGGAAGGAGATATCCTTCCGCGAGGAGGTTTTACTATTGTTCAAAACATTTCTGTCAGCAGCTGTTTCTCGCGATCGGCTGGACGGATTGGTCTGTTGTTCGGTATACGTATTGCTATTGGGCTGCAGATGGTGCAGAACGTTTTTGTTTAATTGCATATGTGTTTATGGGCGTCGAAATAAAAGGTTTTTAAGTGCTCCGGACACCCCCGTTATGCTGAAAATGGAATTTACCATGTTGTTAAGGAATGGGGAGGTTGCAGTTTTGGGTCTTAGCATTCAAAAGGGGTCAAACAGAGGGGTGTCTGGTTCCGATAAAAATTTTGGGTGACGGCGCAGCAATGACGGCGCGGGATGACGGCGGGGGTAATGGCGCGGGTGACGGTGCAGGCTGTCAGACTGAGACACGTTAATCAACAGTCCATACCGAACCAACCGTCAGTAGCCATCAAACCGGCATACAAACATATTACGCACATAACTTTCATACTACACTCAAACAAATAACCTAAACCAATAGAATAAAAAAAACCGGAGGTTTGAAATCTACGATTTCCCTTGTTATTCCTTTTTCTATACACCCTAATGTTATTCTTTCTTGCAGACTTGAACAGACGACTCAGGAGGAAGCGAGAGAGGCTCTGCGTAACCTCGTCCTCCTGGTGTCATCTCTGTCCATGTGTGGGTACCTGGAGCTGAAGCCTAGCACTGCCAACAGTGGAGCTCCCTTCCAGCAGCCTGGCTTCACTGTGCCACAACCTACAGGACAAGGTATGGCAATCACTCGAGATCTTTATTTGCAATCTAATACAGATTGTACAGATATAGATACAGATTTTTCCAAGTAGGATGACCGTGGCAGTCCCTACACCTGAGTGAGGAGGGTTGACACAGTGGCCTTTGCATGGATTTGTTTAAGGTGGATAACAGGTAACAGGAAAAGGTACAATGTAGGCATATGTCATATCTTGCAGGGAGACTTAGCAGGTCCAGTAACCAGCTACAGCCTTTCAAATCTAGCACTGTAAGATTTACAGAGAGCTAGTCCGTCTATTTCATGACCATGTTGTTAAATGATGATAGCCTACAACTATTCAGATCTTCAGTGTCAACATTCCAGATTTTATACTGGACAACCACTGTTCAACTTAACCTGAACTAGAAAAAGACTCAAAACCAGAAAGGAAAGTTGAAACATGCTGTATTTTTCATGTGATACAATGTGTTCACAGGTGTGAGCGTAAGAAACATCCAAGCTTTCCAAGTGCTTCAGACAGTTTTCCTGAAGGCCACCTCCTTACATCTTCTCAACACTGTCCTGGACGTAGTCTACAGTATATACCAGTCAGACAATGCCAACTACTTCATACTGGAGCCACAGAACACACTCTCACAATTCGGAGAGAAATTGTACCTTAAACAGCCAGAAATACAGGTATGGAACTATTCACTCATGTTGTATTGAATGCAGTGTCAATGTGCAATGTTCATTATGTTTACCGAAGAAAAACATATTGTTTTTACTCAATTTCCTCTTCTCCAAACACTAACCTCTGACCTGGCCAATGACATGATTTGTTGACGTCTGTCACCATGGTGACTGGTGTTGGGTTACATAATGTTGCAAACTTCATGGTCTGCTCTGCTCCCGTCACCATATACCAGTAGTACATGTGTGTGAATATGTTTGAGTAAAAATTAACAGGGTAGACCATGTCCGAAGGTAAACATTATGCATGTGCTTTGCAAATGTTACTTCTCTAGTTTTCCATTAAATTTTGCTGCACATAATGGACATAAAATGTTGCTCATTCCATCATCTTTGACGGAAGAGTGTGTTAATTTCTGGAAAGAGGTGTCATTAAACTAAGCTTAGTCTACTACCAACTAGATTTGCCCCTCAAAATGCAGGAAATAGACTACAGAGGGTAAAGATTTTAACATTTTACCAGTGATGAAACAAAATTGAGATGACAGAAAAAACTTCAGGCTGGGTAGAACACTGGTTGAATGTGATAGAAATTGTTTATTAGTATTACGCGGTTTGCATCTTTAAGCAAATTATTCTACAATTACAAAGACTTACAGCTGATATGTTGAAGTAATTGTAACAGTTATAAACAGCATAAAGTAGAGTGTTAAATAATTTCTTAAAACAAAAAGCTATCAGAAGTACATGTCTATCTTCTAGTATCTGATTCTACTTAATTGATAATTTTTCTTTTTCCTCCACAGCTGAAGTTCTTTGAGATTATAGAGTTCATCGTGTTCAACTTAAACTATGTGCCCTGCAAGGAGCTGATCAGCCTTAGTATTCTCATTAAGTCCAACAAGTAAGTATATAATAATATGATATTGCAGAGATTTTTGGAATTTGCCATTGAGAGATTAAAAGAATGACCAGAAAATAGTTTTGCTGCCCTGAAATTGCATTGCATGATTGTGTTAAAATTGCAAAGTAGTAATGTCTCAAAGACAGCAAGCAAAGGTCCTTTTCTAAACTAAGGTTCTACTCAGTGACTCGTGTTAATATATTATATACAATACTGTACGTTAAACCTTTTTTTTTTAATTCTAGCTCAATAGATAGCAGCATCACAGCCATGCAGAGCTTGCTGAAAATTCAGGCACACTCCACCATCTACAAAGACGTGTACAGAGAGGTGGGCCTTCTGGACGCTATGGTGTCTATACTCAACAGATATGCAGGCATGCTGAAGGAACGCATGGGGCAGCCTGTGGAAGAAGGTACTACTAGTACTGTAATTTATTTATGTTCACTGTAGCAAAATTTTACGTCCTGAGAACTGTACTTGATGTATGTAAATAAAAGTTACTTCCAAATTTAAAGTGCTTTACAGAATGAGACTTTAAATATTGAACAACCCTGGCCTTGGTGCTGAAACAACATACACATCTGTGTTCATATTTTGTTTGGATTCTGTTATCTGTACCTTTGATTCTCTTTTGTTTATGTATGATTTGTTGAATCGGTATCGTATAAGCCCACACCGGCTGGGTGCGGGAAAGCGCACGACACGAAAATAAAGTCTCATTCATTCATTCATTACACATGAAAACAAACCTTAGTTTGTAACAGGACAGTTTATGGTGATTAAATGCAGACCCGTACTGTAGAATTAGACTCACAACACACATAATAGGTGGTGAAGAAGAATTTCTTGAATTAGAAGAAACAACCCTGTCCTTGGTGCTGAAACTACATATGCTTTAAAACAAAACCTTTGTAACACCACAGTTCATGGTGAATAAATAGCTTGATAGCTGCATTGCAGAATTACAGAGGATGCAACTTGATACAAAACACAATAGCTTGTAAAGAATAATTTCTTGGATCAGAAGGAATTCTAATGGACTACAAGGAATTCTATGAAGTTGAGTTAATCCCTTGTTAATTTTTTCTGATCAGGTCAGTCCATCCAGCCAGTAGAAGTCCCAGAAGAAGAGGAGCGGTTGGCGTTCCTCGTGATGGACACCCTCGTCCTGGTCCTGAAAAACAACTCCACCAACGCAGGGGTCTTCAGAGAATGTGGGGGTGCCCGCTGCGCACATAACCTGGTGCCGTACATACAGTGTCGTCAGCAGGCACTAGCCCTGGTGCAGCAGCTAGTCCTGTCCAGCGGGGGGGATGACGATATGGGGACCATTCTGGGCCTGATGCACACGGCCCCGCCCTCGGAACTACAACTCAAGGCAGATATTCTCAGGGTGAGTTTTTACATTTTAATTATACTTTATAATCATAATTTATTATACAGAAGAATTACCTGCGACAGAAAAATTTTACTGCGCCACTCAGAATTTAGGAAGTATGGATCATACTAAAAACTGTAAGTTCAGAAACAGAGAACTCCTTACTTACTACAGCTTTGTTTAAAGTTCTCTCACCTAGAGCTTTCAACCAGTTACTCTGATCTTCCACAGTAGACTGACCCAGTGAGAATGTCAAGTGGCTTCATTGAAGTGTGACGTCAGCATGCAACTACCAACACAGATGAACTTTCATGATATTACTACAGCTTTGTTTTCGAATCCCTTCCACAGGCGCTGCTGTTCGTACTGCGAGAGAATCACCGAACGCGCACGGTTTTCCGGAAGGTGGGCGGGTTCGTGTACGTCATGTCTGTGCTGGTGTCCATGGAGGGCTGCCTGGCACAGCCTCCCTTAGGGGAGTGGGGGAAAGGTAAGGGTGATGGAATTTTCCTGTCATGTGATAGTCATGTGATAGTCATGTGATAGTCATGTGATGGTCATGTGATGGTCATGTGATGGTCATGTGATGGTCATGTGGGAATCATGTGAGAACTGTTGCCAAAAAAACTTAACCATGAGTGAGGCCTTTCCAAAAAAAGCCATGGTTATTATGCCACAATGACATGGATTGTGGTTGGCAATGTTTCATCTTCAACAAATTACAGTGTCTAATGATTTAGTTGAACTAACGAATACATTGTATGCAGTCATTTCTTCTTACTACTGAGTCAGACTTGTGTTCGGATTTTAAATTATACTGCTTTCCTGAAAGTAATCCCTTCTTTTTCAGTGGACCCACTGTTGGTACAAAACCTTCTGCACACCGTGTTCCACACCCTGACTGCTGCCATGCGCCACGAGCCAGCCAACGCTAAATTTTTCTCCACCGAAGTCGGCTACTCCAGTCTTGCTGAAGCCATTAGATTACTGGGCTGCTTCTCCCCAAACACTGAACTACCGAGGGAATACGTCGACCCCTCTACCGGGCGACCGCTCACGCCGAGCGAAAGACCGCCGTTTAGTCACTCTTTCAACGACGAGGATGAACTCTTATTGGCGGTGGTTCCGCAAAGATTGCTGTCCGCGTACGGCATGTTCCGACATCTGTACCTGATGGCGATCGATTCGTACGACAGTCGGGCGCCGCCGTCCAGACCGACGTCCCCGAGTGTCGTCGCGACGTCGCCGGTCCACAAGAGACCGACCAGATCCGCCCCTCCCTCCCCGCTACACCGACAGGTTCCTACCACACCTTACAGGTCCCAACATTCTCAGGTACAGCCATTAACCAATAACCTGGTACTTAGAACAAGAAACTTCATCATCAATGAAACTTCATCAACTTAAGCTTGAGTTATTGCCCTGAAAAGCTAAAAACAAAAAAAAACCACTACAGTTTCAAAGAAGCTACTATATTGTAGGAGCCCCCAAATCAAGGACAACTCACCTTAACTTTTCAGTTACTCTTCCATCAACCTTCTTCAGGAGTGATGATTCCATTACTCTGACCATGTGACCTGGGGACACATGATTTGAGTAGTGTGTATAATAGGCTGATAAGCATGCTATGTTGATCTCAATTATCAAAACTTTATAATGCTATGGGACTATCTTAACCTTCTAATGCCACATTCAACCTTTCATGTAGTCTCGATTCTAACAGACTTTAAATTTTATTCTGTGTGTTTCCCCTACAGTACAACCTGCGTACCCAGTCCCCCCAGCATGGTGTATACGGCCGGGAGCAGCCCAACATTGTACATGCTGGAGCCATTCTTGCCATGGTGGACCTCATCCCCTCCATAACCTCGGAGGAACATGCACAGGTCAGAAACATAATTAATTATTATTATTTGCTTGAAATGAAGGGACATTTTTTTTAAACATTTTTTTTCTTAGTACATTTTTTCTTGTAAAAATGACCACCTCTACATGTACATAAGAACCACCTAGCCATTGAGACAGTGACCACCTCTATCTAGAGACCCCCTGGCCAAATGTGTCCACTTCTTTGTGGACCTTTAGAGTTAGATATATATTTTTTCTACTGACACAAGCATTAAGGACATTAGTGGACACCTTTCCATATTGACCAGATGACTTTTTTAATACCTCGTGCAAAAGTAAGGAACGCTTTGTGGTAAACCAACAATGTATTTAAACTTGTCTGTTTTGTCTCCAGCTTGCCCTAGACCTTCAGCTCCACATAGCAGACGTTATCCAGTGGTTAGTGAAGGTAAAGAGAAACCAGCAGGTACCGGTGATGTGTAACTCTAACCTTCATCGACATATTGTCTGTTTTGTCCCCAGCTTGCCCTAGACCTCCAGCTGCACATAGCCGACATTATCCAGTGGTTAGTAAAGGTAGAGAGAAACCAGCAGGTACCGGTGATGTGTAACTCTAACCTTCATCGACATATTGTCTGTTTTGTCCCCAGCTTGCCCTAGACCTCCAGCTGCACATAGCAGACGTTATCCAGTGGTTAGTGAAGGTAGAGAGAAACCAGCAGGTGATGTGCAACTCTGGCCTGCCCTGCCACCTACTGAAGGTATGAATGAATGAATGAATGACTGGTTTATTATGTAAAACATCGCAGCCTTCAGGCTGAAATACGTTTCACTTACCGTACATGAAAGTACGTTTCATTTACATAGTGCACAACTCAATATGACGAATAGTATAAAATATTACCAAGTATCAAAATATTGATTAAAATAAAATATTACAATAACTAAACATCTGAGTGTGGTTGATTTACAACGTATTATTTGTAATATTGCATTAGGTCTGTAACATTGCATTTGCCAAGGAGGAGCATCTCCTGCATCAGCCTCTGCAGAGAACGTACGAGAGACTGGCCTCACAGGCTCTGGAACCCATGGACCTCAGGTACACACATGTACATACATGTACATGTAAATAGGCCATTCACTTGGGCTCTACAGAGCCCATGTGAGTCTCTACCTCATGGCACCCATTTGCCTAGAAGGAAATGGGCCGCTCTGAACAGAGCTAGGTGTGGAGTAGGTAGGACCAGAGATAATCTGCTAAAATGGGGACGGGTGAGCTCAGCTGGCTACCCATGTGGCCACCCTACCCAAAGCATGCAAAACATCCTACAGGACTGCGAATTAGGACCATCTGTCACCAAACAAGACCTGTACGATGCAAACCAGGAAGCCCTGGACTGGCTGGAGCAGTGGGCCGACAAGATATGATGATGATGAACTTGTGCTTGTGCTTTTTTAAACCTCTGCCAAGAAATGTGTGTGTGTAAAATTTAATCACTTAACGTTCGCAGTAGCTCTACTCTTTGGGCAGGGCTGTTTTAGAAATAGCCAATCAGCTCACATGATTTCGGTTTACACTGACTAAAGTTGGCCAATCTGAGGGTAGAATACATGTACATACTGACCCAACAAAAATGCTGTTTAGGCAATGTTTTTGGTGTCAGTGATTTGAATCTTTGCTATATAGATGGTATAATCTCAGAAATCATTAATGACTTTTTTGATATTTTTTATGTTGATAACCATTGAACTTTGAATCTGTTGCAGGGAGTTCTTGAGACTGGGATCTCCCTTGTGCTGTGATCCGTGGGACGAAAAATTCAACCAAGCGGACCAGAAGGAAAAGGAGGAGGACTCCCAGAGCCTTGTGTCGGAAAACGACTCTGTGTGTAATGGTGACCTGGCGTTGTTGTCTGATCCTCGGGTTATTAAGACCACGCCCAATCTACTAAAGGCAGGCGGTGACGCCGTGCCCCTCACCAGAGTCAAGTGTCTCGTTTCCATGACGACCCCACGTGATGTCCGCCTGCACGGCGCCGCGGTCATGCCGGCGTTTGTGGAATTCGATATGGGCCCGGAGGGATTTGGGTGCTTGTACATGCCAAACATAGCCCCCCAAGGCCCCCCAGCTGCCTCGGTTATCGGCGTGACGACAGTGGGTGGACCTGGAGATGCCAACATTGTGTGTGGCATCGGAACAGGTGAGTTTAGAATCTATGGAAAATCTAGTAATAGGGGGAAATTTAGGGCAGATATTGGAAATTTAGGGAAATTTATAGATATTGACTTCAAAAATAAGAAAATACATGACTTTGTGTGAAGGACAACGACATTTGTTTTGAGGGTTTTTTTTTCTACATAGATATTTTATTTGTGCTACTGACTGTCAGTAATCTTTGTTACCACCATCTTTTGGTCACATATCTGTCGTACCTACCTAGGTCAATGCATAAAAGTGGTCAATTGGATTTGCATTAATTTAGGAATACAAAAACAAAATTTCTTCATTTCGTTCTGTAATATGAAGTCATCTTCTGTATCTGTATCTGTACAGCCGGTATAACCGCCCTTCGGCGTAACACACCAGCTTCGCAGGCACGCGGCGTTGCGGCTGCTAGCTATTTCACACTGAACGACTTGTTACACTCAGTCTTTGCACATGTAATTGCAGGAGTTGTTTAAAGCTTTCTAGTGATGATGGCCCTACTGTGCTTGGTGGCAACGAGTTCCGGTCTACAATAGTTCTGGGGAAATACGAGTTGATCTTAAGAACTTTTAGTGAATCTTTAGAACCTAACGTATTTTGTAACGTCTGTTTCCAGGTGACCGCTTGTTCCCACCCCTGTCAGGACTCACCTTCTCAGCCTGGGTGTGCATTGACCGCTACAGCTCCCCTCTAGCTGACCCCCACCCCGTCCGCTTACTGACCCTGGTGCGAAACGTGCTGGGGACTGACCTGCACTACGTCTGTCTGTCTGTCAACATCAGCACCAGGGACAGGAACATCATAGTCAGCACACAGGAGGAGCTACTGCAGTATATTGGTATGTACCAGAGTCTCTGGCTCAGATCAACAGTTACTATTGACTTTGACGAATGTGTGTTTTGCATTTATCTGATGTCTACTTTATAATTACTACAGAATGTCGGTATGTTTACAGTCTCTGGCTCAGATGAATCAACTACATAATGAATTGTTCCTCAAGTAACTGGATGGGTTTTGGGAACAGTGAAAAGTAGTGGCTGCTACTACTAACTTCAAATGCCAGACACTTCACAGCACTAAACAGGACAGGGCATGAAAATTTCTGTCTGAATCTGCTATAATGTACTGTCATGCCCAACCTGTTATGAAAGAAACAACTGATATTTTCACTCATATTCCACTGGATGTGATTTCAGCACTAAGGACAGTGTATGAAAAAAATCTGTCCAAATCTTCTACAATGCATGTGTTCAACTAAAAATGCTACTATTATGAAGGAAATAGCTAATACTTTTCACTCCTATTCCATTGGATATCATTTCAGCACTAAGGACAGTATATAAAAATGTCTATCTGAACCTTCTACAATGCAAAATTCAGGCTGGCTAGAAGTTAGAACACTACAACCATGTAACAAATAGTTATGAAAAATGATATGATATTCCACCGGATCTGATTTCAGCACCAAGGACATTCCTAACCTGACTTTGTCCCTTTTTCCCACCTAGGTTCAGAGGAGGCCCTGGAGCATGTAAAAATGCCCAACCAGTTATGAAAAATGATGTATTCACTGATATTCCACCGGATCTGACTTCAGTACTAAGGACAGGACCTGATTTTAGCACCAAGGACAGGCATAACCTGACTTTTTCCCTTTTCCTTGCCAGGTTCAGAGGAGGCCCTGGAGCCGCGGAACGCTCTAGCAGACGTCCCTTCCGTGGTGCGTTTCTGGTGCCCCACGCTGGCGGACGAGGGCCAGTGGCACCACATCGTACTGGTTCTGAACCGCGCGGTGCTGAAGAACAGCACCGCCGCGCTGTACGTGGATGGGAAACACATCGGGACCCAGAAGCTGCACTATATCCATAACTATCCCGGAGGGGGGAGCAACCCCAACCCTACAGCCATCACCTCCACATACAGCTACATCGGAACTCCTCCTGGTAAGCTGAGATGCAGTTGAATGGTGCTCAAAACAAATTGATACCATAATTGCAAAAGTATAGGTACAATGTACATGTAAATGCTTTTAGGTGTACAGTTTAACTTACAAGTTACAAGAAAGTAACTCACCATAAATCTTTGGTCAATCTTCAACCTTTTTTTAGATTGTATGATCTACAAATGTACGTGTCATCATGTTTCCAACTTCCGGAAAGTCAGCAAGTGAACCATATAGCTCACGAAGCTTGACGAGATGGACGGAAAATTTATGTTGAATTGCTTTTTTGTGTCAGAACAAAGTTTGATCTCAGCAACAATCAGCACATAATACCAGAACAATTCTATTAATTATCCCTTTTTTATTTGCTGCCGAAGCTAAACTTATCTATACTTTCTAAGAAATAAAAGCGTTATTGACCTCTGGCCACCCCCTGGCTGCTAAACATTCCTCAGACTGGGAGAGTGAGTTGGAGGATCCCGAGGAGTTTGGCTACTATGGCAGCCCCATGTTTCAGAAGCAGCACAAACCACAACGTCTGCACAGTATGTCCCCATACACGCCCTCATGTCACAGGAGAACTGATCACCATTCCAACAATCAAGAATTACCATAAATCTGTTTGGAATTTAAACTTGATAATGATTTCAAGCACAAGGGATTGTTCTCGCCGAGAGCTTTTGACCAGTCACTTTGGTATTCTTCAATAGACTGACCCAGTGAGACTTGTCACATGGCTTCTCTCAAGTGTGGCATAGGGCTGCGGACCGGTACATTGTACCGGTCCAATACCGTAAAAATCGTTTCGGTACAGGTCCAAAATACCGGATCATGAAGTAACGAGTATATACCGAAATAGCTAGTTTACACCATGTATATGACTAAAGATAGGTAAATCCTACCACAAAGACGAAAAATTAGCACTGGAAAAGACGTAAACACCGTCGATTGATTTGAGATCCTCAGTCTCACGAGACGTCGCGAGAGTGTGGTTGATCCAGGGTTGTGATTGGTCAACAAACTCAAATCAGGTCAGAGGTCAGTCATTTTCCCTTCCCTCCAACACTTTATTATTGTTTCTGTGTCATGATTGAAAAAGTGAAGAACACGTGTTAATTTGTCAAATTGTTCAGGTACAGGTACAGGTCCGGACCTGTACCTAAACCTCTGTACCAGTACCTGTACCTGTACCTGATGTTACGTTTAGGTACGCAGCCCTAGTGTGGCATAACACTGGGTCAAAGGTGTCTGGTAAACGATGGTTGGGTGAGTGATGGGTGAGTGATGGTCATTTACCAGATACCTTTGACCTTGTGTTGATGTCTTCAGAGCAGCCAAGTCTGATTGGATCAGTCTATTGAATAAGACCAGAGTGACTAATTGAAAGCTCTAGGTGAGAACAATCTCTTGTATTGGATCAGAAACTTTAAACATGTAACTACCAACACAGATGAACTTTCATGATAAAAATCTGACATCATTAACATGAATCCAACCTAACAACGTAATCAAATTCATCATGATTAAAAGTTGACATCTATTTATGCAGACCTATTTTAGAATTTTATTTAAAATTCATTTAAGTTATGCCTGTACCAAATTACTTTTTGTTTATGGATTTTCCATTATGTAGCTGATTCTTTTTCTGTCTCTATGGTTTTTCCCTCATATGACATTTGTCAACTTGAAGGTTCCCCCCCCCAAAAAAAAAATAATGCATAATGATATATGCCTTTTAATTGTACCAACTAGCGAAGAATAAGACTACATGTATGTCTCGCAGTGAGGGTACACTTGACAGTGCATTGTATTTGTTGTTTGCAGCTCTCCATCGCCACTCCCGGCTGCTATGGAGACTAGGCCCTGCCCACATGTTTGAGGATGTTCTGGCCAACAGTGCCATCCACACCATCCACAAGCTGGGGCCAAACTATGTCGGCAGCTTCCAGGCACCACACATCTATGGTGAGTGTAAGAAATCACAATCATACAGGATACTGTTTCCTACAGATACAGAACTATCGTAGAGTGGAACTCGCTGTCACCAAGTACAGTAGGGGCATCATCATTAGATAGCTTTTAAACAATGTTTAGAGTTAGATGTTCAAGGGTTAGGTGTAACAAGTCAATTGTAGCAGCTGGCTACAATAATGTAGCCAGCTGCTACAATACATGTGTGATACATGTATGTCAGCTGGCTACAATAATGTAGCCAGCTGCCGCCGCGCCGCGTGCTTGCAAAGCTGGTGCATTACACCGAAGGTGGTATTACTGGCTATACAGGTACAGATACATGTTTCTTTCAACACAGCCGTGCTGGATACGATACTGAAGTTGGCCTTTTCTCTGAATATACCAAATAGAATTAAAGGTATCCATATTAACAATTTTAGAACAGCAAAACTGGATTTTTAAAGTCAATTTTCTGCTAGTCAATCTCTTAATGTAGTGAGTTGAATCAACTCTATCCCATAGCATACTGATGAAAAGAGATGGAAAACAAGACTCAATTTTTTTTTATTTTTTTAAATTTAATGATGAGACAACCAGACCAACATGTGCTATAAGTATAAGATACATGTATGTCAGTACATATCAATATCCGACACAAATTTTTTTTCTCTCGCCCAGAAATTGCATTGGATGCATTTAAGATGTCTCCAAGATTGACTCCTCCAACTTTCTCATTCCCTCACCCCAGGTACGAAGGCGGATGTGTCCGGTTCCCTTATCCCTGAGGATAGGATCATGTTTGGTGTACATGCTCATGCCCTGACAGCGCTCACTATCAACAAGATCAGAAAGGCATACAACAAGGTAAAGCCCCTATCACACAGTCACCAATTTGGTCTCCAAAACACTAGCTGAACACTCGCCAACCATGTAGGTCTGCGCAAAGTCGGCTGGTGTTCAGGCAGGTTGGCAACTACATTCATTGTATTTGACTGCATATGCCAAATGTTTCAAATATGTTTTAAACCTTCGTTTAGATGTGTAGATATGTAAATGTTGTACATTTGAGAATGCATCTATAGCAGCATTACCTGTGCTGCAGTGCAATGTGAACCAGTCAGAATTGCCCTGAGGAAGGTGACAGACGGTCACCGAAACGTCAGCTGAATAAAAGACTTGGTTGTGTAAAAAGAGCCTCTTTACTCGGTGACTTACATATGTACATGTACCAACCTGATGAAACTATTCACAAATGTATGTTATTCTATTGGCAGGTTGACAGTAAGGCCATTGCCAAACAGTTGGCTCTCCAGTCGCATGAGAATGCCACCCCGGTCAGGATCATCCACAACTCTGCAGGCCATCTGAGCGGCCCGGCTAGAACTCTGGGGGCTGTGCTGCTGGGGTATCAGGGTAGGTGATCCATATTGAAAAAAAAAAGAAGTCAACTAGAATTTAATGTTCAGTTTAGTCACATACTATTTTGTTACCTACCCTGACAGTGCTGTCCATCCTTTATTTTCATGTTACATGTACTTGCAATTAGCCTATGGGCTATTCTAAACTTCCAAAGTTCCACAATCCAATTTTTGGCCAAAATATGTTCAAAGAAATGGCTGTAAAATGTCAAGATCAGATTTCCTCATCTGAATAGTTTAAAATCATTAAAGAAATGTTCAATGCTGCCCATCTGAAAGTTATGTGGGAATTCTGACTCATACATGTAGTGCTCTTCAACTTAGGTTCGCTAACCACTTTTGATGTTCCAAAAAGCAGGTACTCAAGCAACTGGATATGATTTTGGAAACAGTCAATGTATGAATGTGACTGTTTACAAAATCATATCCAGTTGCTTGAGTACCTGCTTTTTGGCATATTGTATTACCAGTCCTGGATGTCTAACCTTCATTCTGTATCTGTATCTGTATAGCCGGTATAACCGCCTTTCGGTGTAACACACCAGCTTGGCAGGCACGCGGCGCGGCGGCAGCTGGCTATATTACACCGATCGACTTGTTACACCTGGGCAGTCCTAACCCTTGAACTTCTAGCTCTAGACGTTGTTTAAAGCTATCTATTGACAATGCCCCTACTGTACTTGGTGATAGCGAGTTCCACTCTGCGATAGTTCCCGGAAAGAATGAATTCTTGAACACCTCAATCCTCGGTTGATAACTCTGGTACTTGAAGGCATGGCTATTGACGCACTTTTGATGTTTGATGATTTTTTTGTCCAGGCGTGCGGACCTTCTGCCCACGCTCAGTAGCCAGCATGCTGGAGAACGTCGGGGGCACGGCCGCGCTGCTGGGTCTCATCGCCATGGCAACGGACGTGGAGGGTCTGTACGCGGCCGTGAAGGCGCTGGTGTGCGTCGTCAGGAGCAACCGACGTAGCATGGAGAGCATGGAGAGAACCAGAGGATACCAGGTGGGGGAAACATAAATATAAGAAATCGTTGGCAACAGGTTAAAAAGAAGGTCCCATTTCACTCTGTGCAAAGCATAGGTTGGTGCCCATCTCCTTTTCTGTAGCTCTTGGGCCAAACAGTTGTGTAAGCACTACAGCAGGGGGCTGGTCCGCTGGTAGTGCTGTGTATTTCACCTTCCAACACTCTTTCTCGTAGATGCTGAGTGCTAAGCAGAGAAAGTATGTTTTTAAATAAACTTTCAACTTTAAAGCCTTTGGTATGACCCGGCCAGGCTTTGAAGCTCTGATTGGCCCCACTGTAACAACAAAACTCATCAATAAGACTATAAATGGTTGTTGTGAGAATGATATGATTTCCTTGTTCGTGCCCAGATTCTTGCTAACCTGCTGAAGAACAAGAAGCAGTTGTTGAACAGCCACATCCTTCACCTGACGTTTTCCCTGGTGGGGACTGTGGACAGTGGCAGGGAGTCCACCATCATCCCCAACAGGACGGCCTTCCAGGACCTGCTCTGTGATCTAGAGGTGGGCACTGCTTTATTACCTCCATGGAAATGGAGGTACATTGTTTTTCATCATCATCATCATTGGTTTATTATTATTCACAATAAAAACGGCCTTGCAGTAGTAACTGAATTGCACCGTTCCATTACAAACATTTTAAAAGGAAATTCCGACAGAATGAAATATATACAGGTTAAAATAGACAATGAACTAGCAGTAAAGTGCAACATCGTTCGAGCTATTGTCGACGTCGACAGGAAAGATGTTTGCGCAAGGGTTCGACAAGGATATAATCATAATATTACATTTACACACTAACGAGGAGTTTTGCCAGCGAGGGTTTTGAATGTGTTTTTGGCATGTCTGTGTGTGTGTTTGTATGTCTGTGTTTCCGCATGGTCCATAATGGAGTTTAGTCTGTCGCAGAGGGAAAAAGTCTTTTTTCTAACATTTGTCTTGTCTTTTCCCTTACCAGGTCTGGCACAATGCTCCATTCGATCTGCAGAAGTCTCTGTTTGAGCACTTTATAGAGCTCCTCACAGAATCAAGGTAAGAGCTACGGTCCATTAACTGCCTCATTATGTAGTGTGTTATACTAAAACCCTTCTTACATGTAGGTAGCATAGCTTTTTAATTATAAGTCAGGATATTAGTACACATAGGGCTGTAAAACTTTTTTTGATTTAAGGTACATGTAGGTAAGGAACTCTCAGGAACTTACAATGTCATTGTATGATTGTATTAATTCTCTTAGAGTGTATTTTTTCTAAACATGACGAAGTAATTTGCCTACAATTTAGCCTCTGTCTTTCCATCATTTGACAAAATTTTGCTGTCATGAAAAGATGAGTTGTTTGTTTGTTTGATTGTTTGTTTGTTTGTTTGTTGTTTTTAGTGAGAACAGCAGTAACGCCCAGCTGATGATCGAGCTGGGGATGGTGAGTAAACTGCTGCACACCCTGCAGGACCGCTCTCTGTCCCAGACTACTGTGGACTCTGTGGCCATGGTGCTGGCACTGCTGCTGCAGGGGTCACTCAAGAGCTCCGACCTGCTCAAGTAAGGAACATTAACCCTTGTCCTGCAGGACCCATGTACATGTATATATGATATATGGGTTGCACATACAGTACTATCTATATAGTGCCTTGTGTATGTACAATTTGGGGGTGTTTCTCGTGCAATGCATCACACCGCAGCGAAACGCAACGACCTGCTCAAGTAAGAAAACAGCAAGATCAATTACCTCCATTTTATTTATTTATTAATCTCAAGATTGCTGGGTAACCCCATTCAGCCTACAATGGCTGTTTTCTAAGGGGTCCCAGCTTGTTACAAGACAATGTTACATAGTACATGTACAGTAAAACAAAGGACAACAAACAGTAAACATAAAAACATATAGGTGCAATGCATTGAAAACAAAATCATAATTCAATACTCAATGTCCTTCATGAAAAATGGAGGTATTGTTTTTGGTCTGTGTGTGTCTGTGTGTGTGCCTGTGTGTCTGTGTGTGTGTCTGTGTTTCTGCATAGCCCATAGGCCTGGTTGTAATAGATATGGTTGGGTTCAGTCTGTCCCAAAGGGAGAAAGTTATCTCACTGTTTTCCCAGGTGATTTCATTACATGACCTCCTTAACAGTCGACAACCGTTACATTCTCTGTTTTGCCTTGCCAGGTTTGGCCAGTTTTTGGTTTCTACCCTGCCTACATTCTCAGTGAGTGAACGAAACATCACCATGGAGAACCTGGTAGATGCTGCCATGGGTGTGCCAGACTCACAGCAGGATGGATCCAGAGGGCAAGGTTGGACAGGGTTATTAAATTTGTTACAAACCCCAACGGTTATGTTTTTGTTATGAAAAACTTAAACTTGGGTCTGATAGCTGAGGAAGACAGATTCAGTCGAAAATTCCTGGTCAGAGCTCTTACTGAGTCAAATTTTGAGTTGGAGAACAGTTTTTCATAATGTAATTTACCAACTCAGATGAACTTTCATGCTGGTTATGTTTTTGGTACTGTTTGTATGTATGTGCACATGTACATCTATGATTGTAGTTTAACACGATAACTCATTGAAGCTATGTTGATGGATTGTAATGAAACTTGGTAGGTGGGTAGGTCTTGATGAGACCTCAAATTGATTAAGTTTTAGACTCCCAAGTGGCTTTGTATGGTACTGCAGAAGGACTTTCAGTTTTGATATCTCGTGATGCCTACTGAATTGTGAGCAATAAAGAATTCATACAATGTACCACATTTTAAAATCATAATTAGTTTATGCACCAAATTGAAAGCCAAGAGATCCATGGTCTTTTGTAAGGATACTGAATCAGCAAATTTTAAATGAACCTGACTTCCTACATTGTATAATTTTGTGTCAGATTTGTCCGAGCTGTCAGAGAGCGACTACAGCGGGCTGGTGTCGGCCAAAAGTGTCCGGCTGAGGAACACACTACTGGAGCTCCTGTATGGGCTGCTGCATACCTCATCAGGGCAAACTGTCAATCAACAGTAAGTAATTATGGTCAACCCAAGAATGTGAGCAGAATGTACTGTGCCTGCCCAGAATGCGGATTTTTCATGATTTTTCACGAGGATGTCTTGGCAACGTTGCATCAGAATTTGCCTGCTGCAGACATAGTTTTTCTGACACAATATTGTAAACTGTAGACATGGTGTCTTTACATATGTGATGAAATATTCTGCCAAGATTTTGCACAATAATTATTACAGTATGCTATCAACCTACATTTTTCACATGTGTCTACTACATCTTGTTAGTAAATCGTATTCAAAATGTTCAGCTTGTCTTCTTTTAAGCTCATTTCAACACTGTTCTGATCCTGACCAACGATATTTTCTTTTACAGATTTTGTGAAGAAGTCCAGAGAGCTCTGGGCTTTGATTGGCTGCTTCTCTTCATGCAAGGCCATCTCCACCAATCAACAGTCATCATCGCCGTTCGAATCCTGTGTGTGTTGCTTAGCAACCAGGCAACCGTTACTAAGTTCCGAGAAGGTGGACTGGGAGGGGGAGGATGGCTGGATGAGACAGAACTCATCCTTCACAATAAGGGAGCAGTGCAGCTTCTGGGTGAGCCGTTGTTTCTTCTTCTTCTTCTTTGCTACTCTCCAACAACCCCGCAAGGGGCATCACTAGCACGTCAGCAGAACGTACTGCGCCTGTGCAGAACTTTGGATTTTTGCAGGTTTTCATCGTATTTTTGGTCAATGTTGCATCAGAATTTTGCCTGTTGCAGGTGATATATTTTCCAACATAACATTTGGAAACTACAGACGAGATGTTAACCTTATATGCGCAAATACAACCTTATATGAGACGTTCTGCTGAAGTGCTATACACAATACATTATGGGTTTCGCGCAGGTACAGTATGTTCTGCCAACATGCTGGTATCACTGAGGGTGGGAGGTGAGGGGACCTTACGACAAGGAAGCTCTAAACGCCTTTAATGACTGTGCTTGTATGGCCTGTATGGGCAACTTATTCCATTCACTATGAAGCAAGTTTAAACTGTAATATCCAACACAAGAAATTGGACTCACCCAAATTTCCGACCGTACAACTCCAGTCTTTGTCAAGGAATGAGCAATCCACCGCTTCCATGACACAGATGAACTTTCAAGATAAGATTATTCCATGATTCACATAATAATAACTATAGAATTTGATCTCTGTTTAATCTTTGTGTTGGAATGAAGTTCAACATTTTACTACCAACATTACTACAATGATTACATACATGTAAATGTTAGTTGTCCAACACAGATGAACTTTCATGATTCTCTGAATTGTTGTTTTTGACAGGTTTTACACAGATGAACTTTCATGATTCTCTGAATTGTTGTTTTTGACAGGTTTTAATGTGGGTGCTGGACCGAGTAAGTCTCAGAACAGGGAGATAAACAAGGAGGCCTGTCAGCTCCCCGGCTTCATGGTCCTCCAGTGGCTGCTGCCTAAACACGCTCACATTCCTGAACTCTACTTCATCCTCATGGCACTACTACTGGGGCAGTCTGCACGCAAACCACCAAAAAACCCTCAGGTACAAATATAATGCCTTTTAAGTTAGCAGTTTTTACTTGAATTAATTGCATGCAAGATACAACTAACATGTATCTTGGATTCAATTAAATAGACTATTGTGTTGACTTGAAATTAGACGTGTGATGTTTAAGTACCATGAAAGAAAAGGGACAAGAATTGAAAAAAGCAGAGAAATTGTACAGTTCTTACAGTGTAGTGTACTGGCAAGTGTGCAGATCTTGGCACATTGGCAACACCAAATCCGTCTGTGTCCTCAATATATCAACGATTAAGCAAAAGGCCTGGTGGGCGTCACTCCACTGTACAATTACAGCGAGGAAAGTCGTGTAAAGTGTCTTTCCCACGGGCACAACATCAGGCATGTCAGGGGATCATTTAACCTGGGACCTCTTGGTTCCGAGCTGAACACTACTAGTATTACTATTATGCCACAAGATGCCACTTAAACAAGAACAATTCAATAATCTTTGACAGTTTCTGGGGCTTTGATATTTGAGAAACTAATACATGACACAGAGAACTATTTACCGAAACGAACTTAGATCGTACAATAATTTTAATAAAACACAGCATCTTCATTTGTGCTTGATATTGTAGGTGACACGATGGTCAAATTTGGGCCCAAATATTCCAACCTTTTCATCGAACAGAATCATGTTCGATATGACGTCATTCGAATCGAATCATGTTCGATATGACGTCAATCGAACCGGACGTTCGTTCGATCCGGGGTTACCCGCGGTCATGTACAGTAAACCCGCGGCTTCAAGCCCGTTTTTACACGGTACCGCCTAACAGTAAAAAAAAACACCTTTCTACAAATATAAACCAATTTCGGGACAGTATATCTATGACCTGTTTTATAGTGGATATGTAACATGTAACAAAGCTACTGCCGTCATGGTGTGTGACCTTGAAGATCGTAATTGTTGTTTACGGGGATATAAGTTACCCCCTGTACTTACTCACACGACCTGACATGCAGGCAAACATGGTATTTAAACCGCAAGAAAAACAAATTCAATTTACCTCAAAAACATTTTAAATTGTAGGTAAGACAAAAATCCTGATCTGTGTCGGACGGATTTTTTAAAGATGGCGGCGTTCTGGAATTATCCGTCTTGGAAGTTGAAAAAGTGCATTTTTGGGCAAATTTTTCTACCTTAGCAACACTTTAACTTTGAAATAAAGAAAACTGTCCGACTCAAATCTTAATTTTGTTATACTGTTCTCTAAAATGCAAAAATGTGGAATTTTCGGAGAGATTTGGGGTCGGTTTAAATCAGTTGTTTGGTTATTGACGTCGATTGTTCTAGAATAAGCATTCGACGCGTTGAGAGTAATTTCACGCACATTTAAGCATTGTAATAAAAACACCAGCATTTGAGCTATATGCAGTGCGGATTTTATCACATTTGGACAAGAGAGTCCCCGTGAAACTGTTTATAATTGATGATAAGAATGTTTACAGCAGAGACCGGCTCCGCGGAAGCCGCGCGTGGAACCCCGGTAACCTGATACCCCTCCGTAGAATTGGAAACTTTACCCTAGAAATTGACCGCCGTGTGAATATATTCACCGTTCAGCAGAAATATTCAACACTGTTTTGTTCCCCACAGTTTGACCTTGACTCCATCTGGACGTACATATTTGGTGTTCCTGCCAGCCAATCAGCTGGCTCCATCACTCCTCAGCAGCCGATGTGTCCTGACGCCGTCATCGTGATCCTGTCCATGGTCAGGGCCATGTTCAACCAGGTCAGTACTGACAAACAAACAAAAAAAACATGATTCTGAAAGGTGTCAATGACACAGGCCAGACAACTAACAGGTGGGTCTTGAGGGAGACTAAGAGATCTTCAAGGAATCATCATAGAGATAGAGCACTGTCTCCCAAGGAAATACATTGCCAGGCAGTTACAATGTACCAGGACTAGGAGGTACAAGGCTGTAGAGGAAGGGACCCATTTAAGAAGGAACAGTGTTTCCCAAAGATGTTACTAGAAAATTGATAGATTTTCCACTTAATGTAACAACTTCAGTTCAAACCTACGTTTAGTAGTATTAATATGTCATTTAGGAACTACGATGTACATGTAAATAAAAAAAGTTATGTATATTTGTCCATGCATGTTTCAAAAAGGGAGGAAAGTGTAGAATGTAATACTTCTTCCTCCTACCCTTATACATGTACCTCAGTTACATGTATGTAACCTATATTTAGTGCATTTGGCCCATGTAGGGCTTGAATATGCAATAAAGTTCATTGTCATAGTAATATGTTGAACTTTATTCCAACACAAAGATTATACACAGGGATCAACTTCATTAGGATAATATCACTTCAAAACGTTATCTCGCGAGGGTTACGTTTACAGAGACTTCACGGATCAAAAGTGCAAGGGAGTTTATATTGTCCATCGTCTCTGTTAAGTGATGGCTGGAGTACCCTGATATAAAGTTTATCGTCATTGTCATTACATTTATACAGCCGTGGCAAATGGAGGACGAAGGTTCGTGGGTGCGAGAATACCCTGTGACCCTGCTACAGTTCCTGCTCTTCCTCTACCACAACAACCCCGACTTCGTCCCCCTGTGCCAGAGTCCAGACTTCCTGTGTGCGCTGGCTGCCACGCTCTTCCCGCTAACGGCCAGGCCATACTCAGAACTGGTAATACTCCTTTAAGTATACTTTAAGACAGTTGTGCTTGATTGACAAAGTGCAGGACTGTTTAAGACTTATATATAGAAAGTTGTCTTAAAGAAAAAATTTTGAACTCATACAACACTCTTCTCGCTAACAGCCAGGCCATACTCAGATCTAGAGCTGGTAAAACTTCCTTTAAGTATTATATACATTGTGTACTTTAAGACAGCTTGACTGTGTGGGACTGTTAGAGACTATAGAAAGTTGTCTTAGTCATATAAATAAAATAAATGTATTGCTTTACACATGATGCCTCAGAAATGTGGAAGATGGCCTTTGTAATATGGTTGTGGAGAACACTAAAGAATTAGTGGTAAACTCCATGGTTTATTTGTAGGTGAGTGAGCCAGAGAGTGAGATGGCATCCCCAGCAGAGTCCAGTGAAGAGTACAAGTCCTTTCCTGAGTACATGGTGGCCAGCAAGAGCTCGGACTCAGTCAGCACTGCAGCTAGAGGTAACCAACAACAGTTACTGTTACTGCTGTGCTTTAAGGAAAGGAGACATTCATAGGATTAATTATTTGCATAATTTGTATCTGGGAATGGCATTGTTATAATGATTTAAGTTTGTTTTCAATGTTTAACTTTATTTTACACTTTATTGTAACAAGATGATTGTCAATTGCATACTGTATAGTCCAATTTTTGAACAATGTGAGTTTGGTAACTACTACATAAGCCTGTTTGAATTGTTTGTCCTCTAGATGCAAAAGGCATCAAAGCCAGCTACATAATGTGTACCATATTGTTGAAGAACAACACATTGCTAAACCTTCAGGTTGCATGATTGTACAGAATTCATATAAGTGTCACTTTGATTACTCTCACTTTATAGTTCCTAACAAGATGTATAATGGGTTTTTGAGTAGTACTTGTCACAGTCAGACATGTCTTGACAGTGAAAATATTTTTGTGTAGTGCCTGTCATTTTTTACATCAATCTGTTACAGTTACTGTAGTACTTGTTACCATATTTTACAAATGCATGCCATTACTTCCTATAGGACTACATGTAGAAGACTAATAAATGATCTAATTAATGTACATTGTAGTATATAGTAGCCACTAGTTGCATTTCACTCTGACTTTCATTTTGTGGCCATGAAGGTGGAGACTGGATGCGCTACTCCTGGAGAAATGGACTAGGTGACTCCACTAATTCATTAACCACTCTCATTTGTCACCCTGGTAGAGATTTAATGTTTTGGCATGAATCTTTCTTAAGCACTGGTCAGTTATAAGAACTTAGAAAGCAATCGGAAATTTGTATACTCCCTAAAACATTTTTTAAGTCAACTTTGGTAGATAACTTTCCAGGTTTCTTATGACCAATTCCAGGTTTCTTGTGACCAGTGTTTCCTCATTTTTGGTTCTGATAAATACTCTTCCTTCCTGCATGGTATTTTGACGTTTAGAGTTAAGGTCTTCCTTTAATTAACATTCTTTTATTTCTTTTTCTAACAATGTAGAGTGACACAAGAATCTTGCTGTTTCTTGCACGATAATTATGATTCACCAATCTGAAATGTTACATTTTCTACTCTTTTTTTCACAGACTGTACTTCTAAAATTATTTATTATTAGGTGCAGGTTATTATGTAAAATTTGCATTTACAAACCAAATACAGTATGAAAAGATCATTTTGATACAAAAAATTATAAATAGTTTATTTACCTTTCTTGTGTATTTTATTATATGAATAGAAGTTGACTGACAATGTGTATAAATAATGAGCTATATCTTAGAAAAGGCATTGTCTATTTATGGTGACTGTAGAGATACCATTGGAATGTGTGTGAGGAAGAAAACCGAAGAATGTACTAAAGACAGTTGTTGAAGATGTTATACATTGTTGTATGTTATACATTATAAATCTTCAAATGTTTAAGAGATTGTATTCTGGCTGCACAGGATCCATGCCCAGCCTGACCACCCACCCGGCCAGGAAGTTTGTGATGGATTTTGTGCGGATCATCATCGTGGACAGCCTGGCCCACCCCACCAACAGGGGCACTCCGGTGGTAGACCTGGTCTTGGAGGTGGGTGTGCTCGTGTCATCATAGTTAGGGCTCAAAAATTGAGAAATACTTGCCCTTTGCCCAATGGGATGAAATTGTCTGGATCAAGCCGGATAGATTAGCTTGGCAAGCAGCTTCAATTTTCCGGAAATTGTCCAGGTCAAGCCGGATAGATTGGTAACTGGCTCCAATCTGGTCAATTTTACTCCAGTGGCTTAAGTTTGGTTTGACTCGAAGCTACGATCCATGCATCTCAGAAAGTGGATCATTGCTGACCTGACTGGAATAATCTCAATTGAGTCGGAGCATTCCCATTGGAGTTAAGTTGACGGGATCAAAGCTGGTCGCCAAGTCAGTCCCCAATCAATCCGGATTGATCCAGACAATTTTATGCTAATGTGAATTCAGTCAGCTTACAGATGATTGTGCATGATATACAGATGAGGCAGAGGCTGTCATTCTTGTATAGTACGGTTCAGCCATAGCCAAAGCTGAAGGATTGATTTTACCATGGTCAATATTGACTGAAGAAGGCCACAATATATATAAAATTTTTTACACGGTACTTTTATGTTCATGGTTTTCACAGTCACTTCTGTACTGTGAATTTATTATTACCTCGAACAAATCAATCAGCGACCTTATTTTTCCTGCACCTATTGCCACCGTGAACATATTATATAGTAATCCATAAACACCTCCATTTTTGTTAGACCATTAAATTTTGCTACTGTGCTCGTAAAGCAAATTACATGATTGTACAGTAAGTATGCTTAAACAACATTGCCCCCCCCCCCACGGCATCCCCCGAGCGAGCGACACAGACCCAGCAGCGTGACTTCCAGACGGAGGTCCTGACGACGCTCATGGACCACCTCCTGGCAGCCGACGCCCTGCTGGGCGACCAGGCGGCTCTTCCCTTGGCTGCAGGTGGCAGCTACAACGCTCTGGTCTCCAACGTCTTCCACTTCGCATCAAGGGTCGTGGACAAGTTATGGCAAGGTGCAGAGTCCTACATGGAAGATAGCACATTGGCAGAACGTACTGCGCCTGCTCAGAATCCTGGATTTTCGCGTTTTTCGTTGGATTTTTGGTCACCGTTGCATCAGAATTTTCACTGTTGCAGAAGACATCTTTTCTGACACAACATTTGGAAACTACTGTCGAAATGCTAACCTTATATGAGCAAATACGACCTTATATGAGACATTCTGGCGAAGTGCTATGCACAATACATTATGGGTTTCGCGCAGGTGCAGTACGTTCTGCCAACGTGCTATGGAAGATCATCTTAAAGTTTATAAATTTTGTCAATGACATCACCAAGAGCATGACCACCAATTCAGAACGGCTGTTGTTAATTCTTCTACGTCACAAGTCCAGGACAAACTACATGATTGTATGCTTGAAAAGTGAGAGGTAGTCCAGAATTAGAGTATCTGTCCAGACTTTTTTTGTGTAATATGTTGATGAACCTTCAGTTTGTCTTGCATGTTTTTTGTGCAGGTGTCTACAACAAAGATGCCAAGGAGGTCTTTGAATTTATCGTCCAACTCATCTCCCAGGCCAAGAGGAGAGGTAAGCACAGTGTGTTACAGTGTAGTCAATGGTAGAAATACCCACCTGTAGAGACATTTTCAACATTGCAGAAGAAAAATTAAACAACCTGCAATTTTGCATACAGAAATCAGGCTAGGGGTTCAGGCTAGAGGTTCAATGGTGTTCAAGAGCTTTTGTGTTTACTATTGACTATAATATGTCAAGTAATATTGCACATATTTTTCAAATTGTATGTACATGTAGTTATTATACATACCCGGACTTTTAAGTGAGTATTTGCAGAAAGTATTTCCAAATTGCAGAACAAAATTTTGACATTCTGCAATATTGCAGAACACTAAAAAAGTACTAGACTAAGTATTTCTACCACTGGTAGTTCACATGTACAAAATGTACTTTGCAATAATGGAATCTGTTTTCAAACTGCTTTGTTTCTGTTCCTAACAGCCCATGGTATGAGCCTGGATCCGATCTACCACTGCCTGAACAGAACTATCCTGTATGAGCTGTCCAGACCATCCTCAACTATAGCTGGTAAGGTGGTCTTCAATCCTTGGATACTTGGATACTTTATTCAGTCCATTAGCTGTCGCACACAAATACACAAATACGCAGCTAATCTTGCTGGACCGTAGAAACATAGAACAAGGACATACAAACTACATAAAGGCTAACATCTAGTATTTACAATTAAAACATGGTTGGCTGGTGTGTTACACTGAATGGTGGTTATACCGGCTATACCGATACAGATACAGAATGATGTTTAATCAATTACTAATAGACTCGTTGATATACATGACTTGTACATCACGAGCTCCAGCCAAAACCTACACTTAAGTGCATTTAACGCCATCAGGCAAAGTGTTCCATGTAAAGACAGACCTACATGTATGCATAAAAGTCTTTTTCATGGCGTTAGTTTTGGGTTTTGGCAGTCTGAATGTGTTTCTGCTTGCATGGCGTGTCTTGTAACTGTGTTGGTTTGTTACTGGAAGCAACTGCTGTAACAATAAAGCTGACATCAGTTTATTTACACCGTTACTTGTTGACAGAAGGAGAACCGCTCGCTTGATATCTTTATATAAAATTGCTCATGGACATATCAATATTCAAGTGGACCAATATCTCAAAACTGCCCATAGACGTACCAGAGGAAGTCATGAATATAAATATCAAGCAATATCTGCCAAAACAGACTGTTTTAAATTTTCTTTTTTTTCCAAGAACAATAAATGAGTGGAATAAGCTGCCGGGACAGTTAGTAAAAGCCCAGACAGTGGAGGCCTCTAAGGCCGGGCTCCTGGCCGCGCAGCCATAGTCCGTCGCACCCCCCTCTCAGTGATACCCCAGTAGGGGTTGTTAGAGAGTAAGAAGAAGATTTATCACAAACCAAGGGTTACTGGCCTGTTGTCACCGACAGAGACTTATAAGCAAGTCTAGAACACACTGTAGAAAGTGTTTACCTTAAAGTTTGCTTTGAACGACCATTGTATACAGTAAAGTAGCCTCCACCAGACTCCTTTGCAGGCTGAATAAGTAATCGGCCTAAAAATTGGTATATAATTGGCCAGGGGAGTCAGCTGGCCATATAGAAGGACCAGTTTGCCCTGGCCAATTATAACGCCTTAGTAGGCTGATTTTTACTGACTATTTATTAAACCTGCAAAGGAGTCTGGTGGAGACACATGTACATGTACAGTTAAGCAGCATTTCAAGTTTGTACTCTGAGTCAAACGTTTATGTAGCCACACACTCACTCACACTCACTATCCAGGCTTAGATTATACTGCTGCTGTTGTCCCTGCCACAGGGGTTGGCAGCAGTCGGCTAGTACTGTAGTACTGGTCTTCACACTGCACCTCCAGGCGGCCCTATCCAGTGGGTCAACACCGGCAAGGCCGCACTCTCTAATGTCTTTCTTCACACACTCTGTCCAGGTCTTTTTCGGTCTTCCTCGACCTCTGCTGCTAGGCAGCTGAAGTTCAATGTAGCCACACACTTGCCACTAAAGTTTTGGTTGCTTGAAAATGTCCTTCCCAGAACAAACCGCTATCCTGGATGCGTTACACCGCCTCACCAACAACCGTAGTCTCGTGTTCGGACCCGGGAACTACGAGCAGGATTTCATCGGCTGCCTGTGTTACTGTCTGATTCAGCTGACCAGTGACGCGTAAGTATATCTTAGGACGTCTATGTGTCGTGATCGTATTTGAGTCATATTCATAATGTGGATGTGTGATTAAAGAAAATCATTATGCTCAGATTCTGGATGTACATTGTATATAGAATACAACACGGTGTATTGCGGTCGGGCCGATCCTCGGGCAATACGGACCTCGGGCGATACGGACTGCAGATCCGACTCGTGGGAGGGCCGGGACCGAGGGCGATATGGAATACACAGTGTATTTTATTTATGTCATACCCACCCAAGAAAACGCGCCTTTCAATGCCAGATGAGCCAAAAGTTGGACACTAAACCCTAAAATGCAACAACATCAATTCCAACGTCTGGATTCTGTATTCGAATTTTTTAAAGCGGCACACGCAGTTAGGGCAAAACGCGTTCGAATCATTCTATGGAAGTCGGGCCGTACCGTAAAGTATGGCCCAGTCTGGAACCCGTTATCAAACGTTATCGCGGTCCGGGTATGATATAAAGTATAGTACGCCATCTGTGTGTGTGTGTGTTGTTTTCTACACCGCCCCCTCCCCCTTATTGTATGTGTGTATGTGTATGAGTGCTTGTTGTCTGTCTGACTGGTGGCGGGCTGTCCTCTCCTCTCTAGCGGTGACCTGTGTGTAACCATGGAACCTGGCCGCAGAACCACGTGGCATGTGGAGCTGCCCGCGGACACCTGGGTGGACGTGTCGCACCACAAGTCCTGCCTGCTGGACGACAAGGCCCACCCGCCGGCCGTGCAGCGCTCCAACAGCACCTCCGAGGCACAGCAGCTGCTTGTCAAGGCTGCCAACAGGATATGGAGCGAGCTACTGGTCACTAAAAAAGCTGTGAGTTAGCATTTGATTCTGTTTAGTACATTCTTACATTCAGTACCATGCATAGTCCAGTGCACAGTCCATGGTCCTGCCTTGGCACAGCAGCTACTGGTCACCAAAAAGGCTGTGAGTTAGCGTTTAATTCTTTGAGAATGCTTACATTCTTACGTTCAGTAGGGTGCATAGTTCAGTGGTTTGCGACCCTGCCTCTGGACCAAGAGGTTGGAAGTTTGAATCCTGGCCAATGTTCTTCACCCAACATGCACTGGGTACTGCTACAATCCTTAGGACAGGACGTTAAGCTGTGGTCCACTGATCATTCTGCTTGTCGAAAAGAGCTAACTGAATTTCCACAGTACAGTGAACATGTAAATGTGGTACATATCGTCTTCTCTGTCACAACCAGTGGGAGATTAGCTCTTCTGTGAGCTAAAACTGGATCAAGACTTTCCTTTACTCGAAGAACTCGTCCTAGTACCTCAATGAAATATTAAAGAGTTTCTCAAACAGTTACAGCACTTACATTAGTAATGCAAGTATGCTTGTGTTCTTAGCCATGATAAACGATGCAAAACCTAATACTAACAATCCACACTGGAAGTATGTCGATGACATGAACCTGGGAGAAGTTAGGACTGTGTCAACCCCAACTAAACTTCAGACTGACCTTGACTCATTGGACACCTGCGCCGAAACGAACTCCATGTTACTTAACCCCAAAAAATGTAAAGCAATGTATTTCTGCTTCATGAGAACCCCCCCAGTAATGCACCCACTGACTCTCGGAGGTCAGCCACTTAGCATAGTTACACAAGCAAAGTTACTTGGTTTGCACATACGCTCTGACCTACGGTGGTCTGATCAAGTTGACGCCATGGTGTCCAAGGGCAGTAGAAGGTTATACTTATTAAGTAGGCTGCGTCGAGCTGGCCTCCCAAGCTCTGACCTTGTCACAGTGTATTGTGGGTATATTCGACCAATAGTTGAATATGCCACGCCCTGTTGGAATGCGGGGATCACAAGAAAACAATCTGACAGCATAGAAAGAATCCAGAAAAGGGCCTGCAGAATCATACTGGGTAGAAGCTATCACTCGTATTCCGAGGCCCTGTTAACTCTTGACCTCCAACGTCTGTCTGAACGGAGACTGACCCTGTGCCGGGCCTTTGCCCTTTCAGCCACTAGGTCTAGGCACGCCCCCTGGCTACCCCCAGTTAGTAACCACTCACACAACATGCAGCTAAGGCAAACACGGCGCTACAAACCACCCATTGGGACAAAAAGATATTTATGCAGTCCTGTCCCCACAATGCTGAACATACTGAATAACCTTGCCATACAGTAGATTTCATTTTATGTTGTTGCACTTGATGTAATTGTACTTTTTTATTATTGTCAGTTGTACTTAAGTAATTTGCCAACAGAAGTTGTATGATGTAATTTTAGCATAAATGTGCATTATTCTAGCGCATAAGTGGTGTTTAATGCCTCTCAAGGCACCTTTTATGTATATACATTATGTATCAGTCATGTGGTTCTTAAAAACTTGTAAAAGCTTCTCAATTCAGCCTTTGGCTGCAAAAAGCTTTTAACCTACTGTACTATGTATGTATGAAGTATGTGTTTCTGCAAATAAACCAGTCTATATAAGTAATGCTTTGACAACATTACATGTCCATTATTGACCACCAATCATTTCACTCTAATGGTGACTACATGACTGTTGTACAATGTAGCATTATGGAAAATTTATGGTTCCTTTCCTTATGTTACAGACTATAGAGGAACTGTTCAAGCTGACCCTGCCCCACTACAATGCTACTCCTGATCTGCAGTCTGTGAAGTAGGTCAAACTTTGTGTTTTTCCCCAACAGATATTCTTGTACTAAGTCTTGTCATCTAGGAATTACAGAATCTCATTTTAGTGATGTACGTGTACAGACTGCCATGATATTGGTAATTAAGAAAATGTTTGTTGCCCTTATCAAGGCATTCAACAGTAACACAAATTGTAGTATTTCTGTTGTACAGTTACTGTAATAATAATGTTGAAGCTGTAATCTAGACTGTCATTGAAATGAGTGTCAGAGAATGATATGTAAATCTAACATCCATGTCCATAATATCACCAGGGTCCATAATATCGCTACCTTGAGAAAAGTGTGCTTAAAGATATTTTTACTGCAACATACCCTAGGTATGTACATTTGATGTGTGCAGGAGTGCATACCAAAAGTATGTTGCAGTAAAAATATCTTAAAGCACACTATTTCTCAAGGTGGCTATTAGGGGTGGGTACCGGTTCAGAAAATTCAGGTCCAGGTCCGGATCAGGTTCAGAGGATCAGGTCCAGGTCCGGACCTGAACCGGACCTGATTATTGTACAGTAGTATAGTATATCATATTTTGGCAAGCGAAACACAAGTACTGCTAGTACTAGTAGTTAGCATCAGCTATTCTTGGTGTACACGACACGGCCGTGCATAAGGCCGCTTTTCCCGATGAATAATACGGCTGAAATGCCAGCACATCCACAAATAATTTGATCACATACTTAATTGCTGCGATCTAAAATGTTACAGGGTTCGCGGGAGTTGTTTATTTTTTTTGATTGGTAAAACGCAGGGTAAAATACACTAAAAATTTCGCCACGCCGCGGTCCACACTTCCGGGTTTAGTGACGACAAAATCATGTCGAAAACGCTAAAAATCCGCATAGAAGCATATATTTTCCCCATAGATTCTTGAAACTATGCATTTCTTCACTAGAATATCGATGTGTGGTTGTGGAAAATAGCATTTTAGCGCTTATATCGAACAAAGAAAAGTTGTTTCCTAGCGTGTCGGCTCGCTCAAGTCTTACCGCCAGCAGCGCCGGCGGCGGACGCAACGACCAATCAGAGATGCGAAATGCCGACACGTGACGCGGGATTTGCATACAGGCGCGCGATGCACGAAATATTTTTGCGTCAATATTCAGCGCCGTGTTTCAAGAGATTAATACCGGGAAACAATTTTTTTCTTGTTTTTGAACGCATAAACATGGATTTAGGCTGATCTAGTATGATTCAGGGTTATTTTTTTTACCTGTCATGGCCAGATTATCTAAAGATGTGTGTACAATCTACAGAAATGTACATCAGGTCCGGTCATCCGGTTTTCACGTTTCGGTTTTTTGGACTCGGTTCTTGAATGTTGTTCCGGTCCAAACCGGTCCGACTGAACCGGTACCCACCCCTAGTGGCTATATTATGGACCCTGGTGATATTATGGAGTTCGACATGGATGTTAATACTAAATACAATTTGGTACACCATTTATATTCAGTAGGTTAGCCAATGCGTGATACAATTATCTGAATCATACACATTGTTGTCACTTGTTGATTTGAGAGCTGCTTGCAGCATGTATTCCACACCATACCAGTCTGCTTGTCATTCCAGTCATGGCTCTGCTCCTGCCTTAAGTTTACTGTCTTTCTCTATGCAACTATAAAGGCCAATTTGCACAGGGCAAAAAAATTTGTCCAATGACAGTCGATGCGCCATGCTGCACAAGTTGTAGGACAGATTATATTTAGAGTGAAAACTGTGGCACCGCGCTGTGATTTTTGTGTGACACATCCAAAATCCACCACACAAAAATCGACGCGCTGCCTGTTAATACGCTCTTACAATCTGTCCTACAATACATGTGGTGCCGCACTTCGATTGTTTTGAAGCTAATGATTTTTTGCCTTGTGTAAACTGGCTCTATCTCTGTCTTGTTGCTGACAGAAACTTGCTTACACAACTAACACTATCAGTAGGTACTACATTGTAGGTAGCTTTTCCTGTAGTTCCATAATTCTAACTCTTAAGACCCCCCCTCCCCCAAAGATCTACATGTAGACATGCACAGTATGTCCTTCTAACAAACCAACATTTTTCTAAATCTGTATACAGTCATGTATCATTAACAGTACACCTTTAGATCATGTAGTGAACCAAACATTGCTATGTGGTGGAGTTTACTCATGACAATGCTGACGTCACCGTTACAATGTACATTGTACAAAATGTACTTCTCATGACAATACTGACAACACTGTTACATTGTACTTCTTCCCCTCGTTTGCATGGATGCAGGATGTATGGCTTCAAGTACGTAAAGTATGGCGGTGATACTGGATAGTCTTGTAGCTCAGGGCAGTCATGTGTTGAAAATTATAGATCTTGGAAGTGATAAGCATACTATTAGTCAATTAGTGATAGGTATAATAATAAAATTATAGTATATATCTTCTTAGTAGGAGCCTTTAGAAATTGTCTTCTCTACTAGTAGTCTTATATACTCTCCGTAGAATTCACAGTACATTGTACATGAAACAAAGTTGTATCAACTGTAAGTCTAAATCATGGAAATCATGGCAATCTCTTGCAACCTTGTGTAGAATAACTGTCCATTTTGTGTAGTGTAAATTTAGTGATAGAAAGAAGTACATACATGTAACTTAATAAGATACGAATACGGTCTATTAGTGAGATAGTTACGAATAAGTAGTACACGTGTACAACACTCAAGTACAAAACATACATGTCAATCATATACTATGTAGCAATGCTTACATACTGTCACATTACTTGTTACCATGTGTTGTTGCCACATTTCATTGTGTAGATCTGTAACACTGTCTCATAGCATCAATGCCATTTCATAAGCTTGCTCCATTCCATTCTGCCGTTCCTGTCTGCTGTTACATTAACATGTAGCTGAGTGTTTTAAATTTCCTGTATTTCAGAATGATGCTTCTTGAACCTGCTTCCAAAGTTTGGAAGTTATATGTGGATGGGGAGAGAAGGAACTGTAGCAAGGAACAAGAAAAGCATCAGTCGGTCAGTGCTCCAAAAATGTCTTACAATCACAATGTTATTTATTGTGACCAGTGTTGAATTGTGAAAAAGTGCTTCACGTGCTTTATCATTTTAACATTTTCCAATATTCGTTATCAACACTGACAATATTGGCCTTGTGTTTTAACACAAAATCAGCAACACAGTATGTTGCTGCAGCACAGTTGTCAATACAAACTTATGTATTGGGACCAAACGTTACCTTAATAGCCTCATCCCAGCAATCATAATTAAAACAATTGAATTTATTATTGAATACCCTATTGCAGGTAAAAAATCTCAGTCCTGTTTGCTTTAAGAGATGAAATGTACTCAGTGATAAAGTAGTGCTTTCGAATCATTATACTTACATAAAGTTATGCAAAAAATTGTAAGACATACAGTACTGTCAATGGTGGGAAGTATTGCAATTCCTTGGATTGCCAACATACTTTCACTCCCAATGAGGGAAATAAACCAGTCTACTATTTTCTACCACAGAAGCTGCAGAAGATGAGCAGTGGTCTGTCCCGTCTGGCCAGCCGTAAAGCCAGACGTGATGCCAGTCAGGTCAAGATTGTTCCATCCTCCATGCAGGTTAGTCAGTCGCTGTACCAACAGGGAAACAGATTTCACCAATTGTTAAAAATCGTAATATTGTGTTATAAGAATTCTCTTACACAGACATGATGACATTGTACTTCAACGTGTGATTTTAAACCTGGTTTAAAATAAAAGGATTATAATAATCTTTTTTTTTATGTCATACCTGGGCAGTGATAATGTTTGATACAGGTGTTTCGGCCTGTGTGATGACTTCAATTCGTACGCAATTTCTGCATGTTCTGCTTTTGAATATTTTAACACCATATTCAGACGTTGGAATAATGTTTTTTTGTTTAGGGGCCCAAATTTTCTCAAATTTGGCACATTTTGTTGCTGCGTAGTATTCTATATTCCTTATGTGTTAATTTTTTTAGGAGGTAAATGTGTGGAACTTTACCCATGTGACTGTATTTTTCATTTTTTTAGGAGGTAAATGTGTGGAACTTGACCACTGTTGTCTTCCTGTATGTAACAATGTCTTATCATCATAATGTAATTTTGCTGGGCCCCCTTGGAAAACAGCTAATGTAAGCTGAATAGGGCTACCCAGCCGTCTTATGATGAAATAAATAAATAAACTTAACCCACATGACTGTATTTTTCATTTTTCAGGAGGTGAACGTGTGGAACTTCACCCACGTAGCGGTGGTGCGGGACCTTGTGGAACTGAGGTACAAACAGTACCAGCAGGCGCAGCACCACATGCAGAAGTACGTGGAGGAACAGTGGAACCAGATGGAGCTGGAGCTGACCCGGGAGCGTGGACTGTGGGGCCCCCCGCTCGGCTCGCATCTGGACAAGTGGATGCTGGAGATGACAGAGGGGCCGTGTCGCATGAGGAAGAAACTCTGCTGCAACGACATGTTCTATATCCACTACCCACACCGGCCAGAGGGGCCTAACAACCCGGTAAACACAGTTATCATAAAGTTTTTAAAAAATTGTTTTGAACTCATGCATGCACAATCATAAATTAAATGGTGTTTTCAGAACATGTCACTGTTCTGGTATTTTGCATTTCACTGAATCCTACCACTAACACAGAGAATTTCTTTAACATGAACATTTAAATATGGACATTTGGACTCTCTTCTACCAAACAGAATGCTTAAAAACTGTTGTACATTAATTTTGTACATATGTACAAGTCATGATTGTATAATGTGTTTAAACCTTAAAGTACTATATAATGATACACTGAAATGCAAATGAACCAATCATGCCCAATAAGACAGCATGCATTCCTTGCTAGAATACACTCCTGGTTTATAGGAAATATCAGGTGAACATGCTCTATAGGTTGTGTTTAGACCCAAATTTAGAATCCTTGCAGGTTCAGGGCTCTAAATTCATTTTTGGAAATACAATGTAGGTGCACTGGTGCACCCAACCTAAAAAAATTAGCTGCACAAAAAATTTTTGGGGTGCACCAGATAAACCAGAACCTAATTACAGATCTTTCTGCTCCTCTTCTGAGCTTGAATCTGAAATGGAAGCTAACGTCAAAATCTTAAACAAGTACTACAACAAAGATTCTATTATTTTTCACTTAGATGTCAAGAATATCCTGAGTGTAAACTTATAAATTCAATATGTACAAAAATACCTACAAAAAGATTTGGGTGCACCAGTGCACCCACAGAAAAAAATTGGGTGCACAGCTCCAATTTTGGGTGCGCTAAGGTGCACACGCACCCAGTATTTCGAGCCCTGAGGTTTAGTGGTATCCCACCCAAACCATCCTGTCGGTCTGTTATAGCAGGTACAGAGTGCGTTTCCTCCCGCCCGATGCGTGGACACACCGGAGTTTTACCGCCGGCTACGACTGATGGGGAAACTCCCACCTGAGGTTCATCCTGAATGTTCTTGACTGATTAAAGTTCACTTACAGTGTTTATATTGTACTACTGGTGCCAGGCTTCCTGTTCACAGCACGTCGGCAGAACGTACTGCGCCTGCGCAGAACCCTGTATTTTGACGTTTTTCGTTGAATTTGGTCAACGTTGCATTAGAATTTTGCCTGTTGCAGAGGACATCTTTTCCGACATAACATTTGGAAAGTACAGATGGGATGTTAACCTTATATGCGCGAATATGACCAGGTCCTTATATGAGACGTTCTGCCAAAGTGCTATGCACAATACATTACGGGTTTCGCGCAGGTGCAGTACGTTCTGCCAACGTGCTCCTGTTCACTAACCTTCACACAGGGGACATGTGGTTCAGTGTTCTTCCTGTCTGTTCTAAGTCTAAGTTCATACTTACAGTGGTTATCGGTGGTGAGAATAATATTGGTGTAATCAGGATACTCTCTTGTTGGTGGTACCCCTTCTGCTGTTCGTCAGGAATTGCTGGTGACTGTTCTTAACTTGGGTTACTGTCTGGGTCCCCCCAGTTGTTTCTTTGTTAAAGGCATGGAAGTTGAATGATGATGGTGCCTCCAAGGTGGCGTGGACTGTTTTTCTTTCACACATTAGGTAACAAATTAGATATGATTAAATAGATGTTGTTTTAAAGTTTTGTACATGTTCTGTCCACCAGAAACCGTCCAAGTACAAGGCTGCGATCAGCCTGGACAGTAAGGAGTACTACAAGCGGTGTCAGGCGGAGGGGCGACTGGAGCACATGGAACCGGACGAGAACGGGACAGACACCGACTCACAGCTGGACGCTTCCATCGACGTCACGGACGCTGACGTCAGCAAATCTGGTGGGTGGGCTTTATTTTGTTCATTTTGTACTCATAAATCAACCGAAGAGGAGCACATTTCTGATCAAACTGCTTCCATCAATTAATATTTACCTTTGTTAAGAAGGTTACTAGTACACTGTATGTTTTCGCTGGCATGTGTGTGTTTGTGTGTGTGCGTGTGTGTGTGTGTGTGTGTGTGCGTGTGTTTGTGTGTGTGTGTGTGTGCGTGTGTGCGCGCGCGCGCGTGTGTGTGTGTGTGTTTGTGTGTGAGTGCATGTGTGAGTGTGTACGTGTGTGTGTGTGTGTGTGTGTGTGTTTTTGTCATGATAAAACTCAAGGCTTACATGTACATGAATTGTCTTGATGTGTCCACGAAAACCACACACGAAATATAAACTAAGGTACTGAGATAAAATCGGGATTCATTTTACACTGTATTGTACACGACAAATAGAATTCCCCCAGTGCTGACATGGTTGTGGCTGGCGATGTTTTCAGGTCTGAAGCCCTCCAAGTCGCCTTACGATGCAGATGAGGACGACACAGAGAGTACCCAGTCCACAGACAGTACTGCCGAGGAGACAGACAAACCCAACAACCAGACCATAGTCAGACTGCTGGAGGAAGGCGAGAAGGTACGTGTATCTATAATCTGTACTGCTGTGGACTTTATTTCTGTCGTGTCCAAAATGCAAACATAATAAAACGTAGTATCACATAGACTCTCATATCATTGTATCCTCTTTTTCATACAATGTTGTTTGTATTTACAACATCATAATTTTTCTATATTGGCCTCCTGTAACTGCTGGCCTCCTACAACAGCTACTAGGTAGCTAGCAGTTACAGGAGGCCAATATAGACTTCCCGGCTTGCCTCAGTATATCTGACCCTAGTCTACCCCTTGCTCAGATCCGGTATATGTTCCGATGTAAGTCAGTGGCAGTTTTCTTGTGGTGATCTGATGTCGCCCAAAATAAGCCAAGAAGATCACAAGACACAGAAAATATCATACTCGTAATTGGGAAAAGGTCAACATACATGTACATGTATAGACCTGAATCTGTATCTCTGTATTATGTCTATAATACAGAGAGACAGATTCAGGTCTAATACAGAAATAACCTGATCCCTAGGGAACTATCACTGTTATCTAGTAGTTGTTGTCATCTTCTATGTCATAGTATGGAATGTCAATTGTCCAGGACAAACTAGGCTTGAAAAGTGAAAAGTATCTGTCTGTAATTATAGTGTCATGTGTTTAGTGATATACCTGATCCCACTCCATCTGCAGATCCGGTACATGTTCCGATGTGCGCGAGTCCAGGGACTTGACACGTGTGAGGGGCTGCTGCTGTTCGGCAGGGAGCACTTCTACGTCATCGACGGATTCACGCTCCTCAGGACACGCGAGATCAGCGATATCGACGGAATCCCTCCAGGGTTGGTTTGTTTGTTTGTGCCTTAGGATTTTGATTTGATTTTATTGAAATTGCAACAATGCAATACACGTGGAGCAGAGGCAGCTGTTGCTGGTGTTGTGTCCCGCACATAGAAACAAATACAGGACAGACAATACTCATTTTCACTTGAGTCTAGTGGGGAAAGTCATGTTAAGTGCCTTTCCCAAGGGCACAAGATCGGTGGCATGTCAGGACTCGAACCCGGGACCTCTTGATTCCAAGTCGCGCACGCTGCCATTGCACCACACGACCCCACACGTGGCTTATTCTTCTTCATGCAGTGCACTACAGCCTTTGTCAGAGGGAATTTGTAAATATGTCATAGAAGAAGTGGGTAATTTTGTCTTCAAAAGAACAAATCAAACCCAACACTTGGCCATTGCACCAGTTGCCTGATGAAACATATCCTGCATTTAGGCTTAGTAAAGGATGTTGCTAACATGTTCAAAACTGTCCCTTTGTTTCCTGCAGACTGCATGACCCAATCATCCCCAGAACCACCAGGTCTTCAGGACAACCCAGCCAGATGAAGAGAATGTAAGACTTTCCCAGCTTTTTTACTCTTATCAAAGAGTGATGTGCAAAGTGAACCAGTCAGAATTGCTCTGAAGTCAGTCACGGAAACGTTGGCTGAATAAAACATTTGGTTGACAATGTGTAAAAAGGGTCTCTTTACTCAGCATATTTTGTTGATGGTTGTAGCTGCTAGTTTGGGGAAAGTTTCAAAGCTTCTATTGTTCCACAGGTGTAGTAAGTTTGCGTATGAAGACATCCGTGAGGTCCACAAGCGCAGATACCTGCTGCAGCCGATCGCTATCGAGGTGTTCTCCAGCGATGGCAGAAACTACCTCCTGGCACTGCCCAGGGGCATCAGGAACAAGGTTCACCAGAGGTCAGGACTTAAGTTATTTATTTATTCATCTAGTAAAGCTATGTAGATTTACCACATTGGTGGAAGGTTTGACATATAACAGGTGATTGTTATCATCTTTTCAAGATGTCAAACCTGAGACCAGACTGTAAGGTTACCACAAAAAATTCTCATTTTTTGGTAGATTTATACCTCGCTTACAGTGTCCTTTCCAACTTGCAACCTGTTGTGCAGTGCATATGTGCAACCATATACTTAGTTGTTTACCTGTCAAAAGGGGCAGCATTTATGTGATAATGCAACAAACATGTAAAAATGGTTTCTCTGTTTCAGGTTCCTGTCCCATTGTGCAGCTCTAACAGACAATGCCAAGGAGTCGGTGTCGGGCCAGAAGGCCAATGCTAAGGTGGAGCAGGGGTGAGTCCAACGCTTCTACCTATTCCTTACAGTGTTGTACCGCTACAAGCTAGTGCGCTACAAGATGTAGATGATTCATGACTTTCTCCCTACTACTCTTACTCTGGGAAAGACTGAACCCAGCCATATCCAATACAGCTGGACCTAAGGCCCATGCAGAAATATGCACACACAGACACACACACACACACACACACACACACACACACACACACCTACATAGTCACACAAACACACACAAACACACACACACACACACGCACACACACACAAACATACACACGCACACAGTCACATACGCACACACACACACACATACATACACACACAAACACACACACCTACATGTACACACACACACAAACACACACAAACACACACACACACACACCTACACACGCACACACACATACCTACACACACAAATACAAACACGCACACACACACACACACACATCATTTACGTCCACTCTTCATGGAGGTAAAAAAATCCATGTCATACACATATAATATGCTTAAGTTTGTTGTTTATTGTCTTGTATTCCCCCAGCTCCACCCTTCTGAGCCTGATAGGAGAGAAGACAGTGACCCAGCGTTGGGAGAGGGGAGACATCAGTAACTTCCAGTACCTCATGCACCTCAACACCCTGGCAGGGAGGTCTTACAACGACCTCATGCAGTACCCTGTCTTCCCCTGGGTGCTAGCAGACTATGAGTCTGAGGTGAGTTATTACAAGTAGTGCTGCATACTGGTTCACTGGACTTGGATCCGGACTTGTAAAAATGTTTAGGTTCAAGTAAAAAAAAAACTAAAAGTCAAGAACCGAGTCCGGACTTATTACCATAAAAGACCATTTCACATACCCCTTTTCTTTCCAAACCACCTAAAACCTTCCGTAGATTGCAACAACTTTGCTGCAAAATGAAGAAAACATTGCCATTGGGCTTCGTCAAGTGTCGGCCTCCATGTTATGTGGCCAAAATTTCACCCAGACAACATTGCAAGGTTGCCAACATGCAATTTTGTATATGCCATGGGTTCAGGTCCGGACTTACAAGTCCGGAACTGAACCTAAACCTCTGGACTTGAATCCGGACCTTAACCTAAATGTGGGTTTAGGTATGCAGCACTAACTACAAGTCACGTACAGAGTTTACTCATCTGTAGGTTGGCTTAATGCGTGTGCTATAGATGTTGTTACACTACTAAAGTCCTACCTAAGGTCTGCCCCAACGTTTGTTAAAAATAGGCCCTTCTATTGGGTCTAAGTGCTAAAGATAGTTCCAGAATGCCTAAAATGTTCTAAAATGTGGAACAAATAATTCACTTTAAACGTCAGGTTTACATGTACAAACTGTACCTGCAAGTTTAGGTTTTCTAGAATCTCCATAAGTAAAAGCAACAGTCGCTAATTAATCTTGGAGTCCTGTACATTAGAATTACATTATAAATACAACACAATTCCACCATATGATAATTACTTAATAACTACACCATAATTAGTAACTAACTAGCTAACTAACTTAATAACTAGTTCTGTGCACAGTGCATTGACTGCACATGAACATCACAGTGGGATTTGAACATGCAGTCATGAAACATCACGCATTTAAGGAACAACATCTTCATCTTTGCCGGGGCTCTAGGATGTTGTACAAGCCCCGGCTACACCCCCATATATAGCCCCTGTTGGGGCACTTTAGGGGGGGGAGGCCTTGGTCTAAGGCGGGCAGGCCTCCAGCCTTGCCCGGAAGGACTCAACGGTGGGAGCCATGGTTACCGGGCAACATCAGTGACACCTTGTTAATGTTTGTCCTACAGGAACTTGACTTGAATGATCCTAAGACATTCCGGGACCTGTCCAAGCCTATGGGAGCTCAGACAGAGGACAGACTCAAACAGTTCCAGAAGAGGTACATGGACTGGGAGGACCCACAAGGTAAAACACTCTCCCTCACTCAATCTCCAATAACCTCCATTCATGCGTCTTCCTCTGAATAGGGAATTTAAGAAATGGTAATCTGATGTAGTATGTAACATCCATTGAAGCTAGGATACATGTAGTAATATAAGAAGGAAAGCTATCAGCACCAAGGACATGACCTGCAGAACTGCTGGATTTCAGTACCAAGGGAAGGGAAAATAATTAGGATTTTCAAGCCTTCAAAAATGCAATTTTCCACCTTTTGAGAAGCAGATCATTGAGCTGAGAGTGGTTGTCAGTGGTCTTTTCAATGTTTTATTATTCTAATCCAAGATTTTTGTCAATTTTTTACCATCAATGTTGACTGATTGGTTTAAAAGCTTTTCCGTCACACGCTGCAAAGTTCTGGCAATTGACGGAAAAACAGATGCCGGATAGAGCCCTGTATTAGATACATGTATATATTGGCTAGAAAAAAACTAGTCTGTGAGTTCTGTCTTGCAGACCACAAAACACAATATGCAGACTAATACATGTGTATTGTCTACAATAACAATGCATATATATGTGTGTGTGTATTGTTATGCCCTGTAAGTTGTAGCTGTATATACTTGTTATCCTTTTTAGGTAGACTTACGTTCATCAGCTTTTTCTGCCTGTAAGTCTGTGTAATGTGTTGTTTTGCATTTGAAATAAATAACTAGAGGAGTAACATTTGCAGAGCTAATGCATAATGTTTACCTTCGGACATGGTCTGCTCTGTTAATTCTTACTTAAACACATACATGTACTACGAGTATATGGTGACAGGAGTAGAGCAGACCATGAAATTGCAACATTAGCTAACCCAACACCAGTCACCATGGTGACAGATGTCAACAAATCATTTCATTGGCCAGGTCAGAGGTTAGTGTTTGGAACAGAACAGGAGGAAGAAACTGAGTAAAAACAATGTGTTTTCCTTCGGTAAACATAAATATTGTCTTCCCCAGGAGAGACTCCACCCTACCACTACGGCACACACTACTCCTCAGCGATGATCGTGGCGTCCTACCTGGTCAGGATGGAACCCTTCACCCAGCACTTCCTGCGCCTGCAGGGCGGCCATTTTGACCTTGCGGACAGGATGTTCCACAGTGTGAAGGACGCCTGGATGTCGGCCTCCAGACACAACATGGCCGACGTGAAGGAGCTCATCCCAGAGTTCTTCTACCTTCCCGACTTCCTGCTCAATAAAAATAACTTTGACCTAGGTTAGTAGTCAGGAACTGTTGTACCTGTATGATGTCTAAATTTGAAAACGTGTTGGGAATCCAAGTTGCTAGTTTTCTACATACGTTTGGACATAATAGTATGAAGAGTGCCGATGACTTGCACCATTGCCAACTTGGCCCAGTCAACTCAGTCCATCTCCCTGGTCAACTCAGCCCAACTCCCTGGTCAACGCAGGCCAATACTTTAAAAAACCCCAAAGTTTATTAAAGATTTGAGTCTCCAGGTTGCTATTTTACTGCATTTTGTGTAAATTTGGAGATTGGGCCAAGTTGACCCAGGCTGTGTGCTAAGTTGACCAGGGCAGTGGGTTGAGTTGACCAGATTTGTGATGGGCCGAGGTGGTGATGGTCTGGATGAAGCATTATATCCATCCTTTCAATTTGTCCAAGATTCCAGGTTGCAATTCTTTGTTAGCATGTGACAGAGTTAGACATGTGTTTACATTATCCTTTGCATCATGTTGTAGGTGTGAAACAGAGTGGAGTAAAGCTAGGAGACATCCTCCTGCCACCCTGGGCTAAGGGAGACACCAGAGAGTTCATCAGGGCACATAGAGAGGTGGGTTTGACATGATTAAATCCTTCCCTTAGAAATATCTTCTTCAGAAGCCTGGATTGATGATATTTTTTCAGGCAATGTGTTGCCTCTAGGGCTATAAGTACTAAGTGTAAAATTGGGAATCCAAAATTTCATGCTTGATTATATGCACTGCATTCCCCTAACAGTTGTATGCATGTTAGGATTCAAAACTCCAATACGTAGGCCAGACATCCTCCATCATGAAAGTTAATCTGTGTAGGTAGTTACATGTTTAAAGTTAAAGCTTGTTCAAACTTTAGAGGTGAGTCTCACTGGGTCAGTCTATTGAAGAACACCATATATAGTGACTGGACAAAATCTCTAGGTGAGAACAAATCTCTTGTGTTGGAACAAAACTTTCAACTTTAAATGAGTCCCTAACTACCAGGCCCCTGTTCCCTCCAGGCCCTGGAGTCAGACTACGTGTCAGCACACCTGCACGAGTGGATTGACCTGATCTTCGGGCAGAAGCAGCAGGGAGAGGAGGCCATCCGCGCTACCAACGTGTTCCATCACCTGTTCTACGAGGGCAGGGTGGACATCTTCAGTATCAACGACCCGCTCAAGAAGAACGCTACCATCGGGTTCATCAACAACTTTGGGCAGATCCCCAAACAGGTAAAAAAAGACCTTTTATGGCAGAGGAGGCTGGTTAAGGAATGAATTCTTCTGGCCCTTTTTGACTGAAAGTTTCTCAATGGAAAGATATAACTTCAAGTTACTTGTCTTCTTGTAATTAAATGATTGGTAATTCCTTTAGGTAGGGCTGGGGTCGTTTGGCACACTTTCTGTTTGCATTTACATTTTGCATAAACTTTAGGAAGAATGAGCAAACCTAACTTGACAATGGGACATGAATTTAGTAAATATTGAAATTCATAACTCATAGTTTGTTTTCATGTATTTTTTAGTAGTTTTGTTGGTAATTTGTCAGCAGTAAATATTATGATATAATGATGATGGTCGATGCCATGGTTGATTTATAAAGGTTAAAATTTGTATTACCAAGTATGAAAAAACAATGTCCATCCATCCATCAGTCCTATAGCTAGTACATGTATGATATTTTGTAATACAGTATCTTCTGTAATACTGAAGACATCCTCTTCTCCACAGCTGTTCAAGAGGCCCCACCCTCCCAAGCGAGCGCGTATGTTCCGCAGCGTGAGTTACAACAACGACGGCATGCCCGTCGTCACCAACAACCCACAGGACAGGATCTTCTTCCACAACCTGGACAACCTCCGACCCAGTCTGCAACCTATGAAAGGTGACAACTGGACCTTTTCTTGTCTCTAATCTAGGATTTCGAAAAATTAAAAAGTACTAGTAGTGCTTTTGTTTACTATTATATGACTTGACTTATGTTGGGTGCCAGTCATCCTCTGCCACCAGAATGACCACGGCAGCCCAGTAGCTCCTGTCCTGCATAGCCTTCCCCATGCCATTGGCTTGAATTTGTTGTCTCTTTGCAACACGTTGAAGTATGTAAGGGGAATTTTTTTTCCCCTTACATACTTCCAGAACTGCTTCTCCCATGCACTGGGGACGTAGTGGAGACTACTTCCTTGTTGTTTCTAAGAGAGTGCCCGGCAAACCTTAAATGTCTGGCTTGTATCTTCTCTGACCAGCATAAAGTCATTTGTATAGTTTTGCTCCCATTGTACACTGTACAATGTAGACACACCATAACATCCTTGTGAGACACATCTTAACATCCTTGTGGACATGACAGTTGTGAGAGAGTTGGTACTATGTAACTTCTCAGACATAATTATTGTTCCTTTCATAGCCTATTTGACATGTATGTGTCACGACGAACATGAAAGATACAATCATATGTTACAGAATGTACTTTTGTTGTGTTTCTGTCAGAGCTGAAGGGTGCAGTAGGACAGATCACGGCGACTGACAAGGCTGTGCTGGCTGTGGAGCAGAACAAGGTCCTCATCCCTCAGGCCTACAACAAGTACATGGCCTGGGGCTTCGCTGACCTCAGCATTCGCACTGGGACATACGAGTCGGACAAGGTAAAGTGGATGTGGTGGATATTGTACATTATTGTGCAGAATGAGGTGTTCAAAAACTCGTATTTCCCCAGAACTATCATAGACTGGAACTTGTTGCCACCAAGCACAGTAGGGGCATCATCACTAGAAAGCTTTAAACAACTCCTGCAATTAAATGTGCAAAGAGCGAGTGTAACAAGTCGTTCGGTGTGATATAGCTAGCTGCCGCCGCACCGCGTGCCTGCGAAGCTGGTGTGTTACGCTAAAGGGCGGTTATACCGGCTATACAGAAACTGATACAGAATGTGTGTTCCATTTGGGTTCACCAGCAGTCATTCAAACAGAACACGTGTTCCATTTGGTCCGTTATGGTATTTTTAAACAACACAGTGTTTATGGAATTTAATCACCACTGGTAAGGTTATGGCATCATAACCAATATGAAATGGAGACTTCTGGTTGGTCCATGTCCTCTGGCAATATGATAATTCGTCTTCCATTGCCTAAAAAGAAGAAGTCAAACCCAGTAAAACTAGTAACATGTATGTTGTAGAATAATAGTATAATGTTAGACGTAGATATAGTCTCACATACCATTGTGTTTTCTTTCTTATGTTGTTGGTAACTCCAATTAGCCCTCGGGCATGTATTTACAATGCACTTTCTAATGTTTTACGTTCCCTGCAGGCATCTGGTGTGTACGAGGGCCTGCAGTGGGGAGAGGTGCTGTGTGCAGCCTGTCCTAGTGCCCGAGTGTTGATCACAGGAGGGACCAGCACAGTGGTGTGTGTCTGGGAAATGCCTGGGAAAGACAAGACCAGACAGCTGGTACTCAAACAGGTACATGATCATTGGATATATTCAACACTGGTCACTAAACATAGGGGCATACGGTTTAATTTTGGAATGTCGCTTTCCAGATTTTGAGACAGTTATGTTGAAATCCCTGATGTACACCATTTGAAAGATCAAGTTATCTTCAGTACTAGGTTGCTTTTTTGCGGTCACAACATACAAATTTATTGAGATATTTCACTTTAAAGATTACTTGTAGGAGAATTACCCGTTACATCAAACCTGTGCACACTGTGTCATAACTACTGAAAGACTAATGTAAGAGTCTGTAAGTGAAATTAGCTCACATGTTTATTACGGCCCCTTTCGCCCTGTGGATGGATTGAATTGTACAGAGACATACACTGATTTGGCCTGTCAGTTGTAGTTTGCTAATATACGTAATTCCAATCTCCGGGGCCATTTTGAAAAGTGGTCCCGCGAGAGTACGGTGCTGCGCGAACGCACGTGATCTTGCACGAAAACGAGGTGCCTACTGATACTCCATTTTTTTCAGCTAGCCTACACAATGCATTCCAGTGGGGCATCCAGCGGTGCTGCATCTTCTTCAGTAAATTAGTAGTCTGCTAATTTACAGCCAAGAACAGTTATCTATCATTATATTATTTCCCCCTGTAGGCCCTGTACGGACACACGGAGCCTGTGACTTGCCTGGCGGTGTCGTCGGCGTATAACGTGATCGTGAGCGGCTCGCGTGACCGCACCTGCATCATCTGGGACCTGAACCAGCTCATCTTTGTCCGCCAGTTACGGGACCACGCCGCGCCGGTCGCCGCGGTTTACGTCAACGAGCTTACGGTAAACATACATTTCAACCATCAGATTTAAAGTATTTTGTCACTAGAAGCACGTTGGCAGAACGTACTGTGAATGATCGTATTCGAAGTAGACATCCTGTCTACAGTTTTTAAAAAATGTTATGTCCCAATTGAGATATCGTTTGCAATGGGAACATTTGTGATGCAATGTTAACTTTGATCAAACATCCAACAAAACCCTATGTTTTGCCAAGGTGCTGTCACTACATGTACATGTTGTTGCTTCTTACTAGACTAAGTACAATAAATACCTTGAATTTGTATTCATTATTTTGTACGTTTTTTTAGGGAGATATAGCAACCTGTGCTGGCACATTCCTGTATGTGTGGACCATCAACGGGGAGCCCATAGCCAGTGTCAACACTATGACTACAGGACGCAACCAGCAGATACTCTGTGTCTGTATGTCTGAGGTGAGGCAGTCACATTGTGTGTATGTGCTGTGTGTCTGTGTGTATGTGTACTATGCATGTGTGTGTATGCATGTTTTTGTGTGTGCGTGTGTGTCTGTGTACTATGCATGTGTATGTAGTACTATGCATATGTGTGTGTGTGCGTGTCTGAGTTTTCATAGAATTTCCAGTTTCTTGATTTAGTTCATTGTACCTGGATGTCTATCATTCATCGATGTATCTAAAAGCTTGTTTAATTAATGGTTGAAGAGAAAACGTTTTTTTTTTAAGTCTTGAATTTTAATGTAATCATACTGTTTTTGTGGGGTTTTTTTTTCTGTTTTTTGTGTGTGAGCGCGCGCGCATGTGTGTGTGCATGTGTGTCTGTGTGGGTGTGTGCACATGTTCATGCATGTGTGTGTGCAAGAAGGTATATATTTTGTGCTTAACATAACATAACTCAATAACTTATCATACATTGTACTGCTGCAGTTAATGGAGTGGGACGTGCAGAACGTGATCATGACAGGCTCCAGTGACGGAGTTGTGCGGATGTGGAGTGTGGAGTTTGTACAGGTGCCTGACTCAGAGCTGGCTCTCGAGGAGGAGAAGTCAGACCAGGGGAAGGACACACTGGCTCTACAGGTGGTGGGGCCGGTCACTCGCCCAGGTGAGTAGATACACACACTCACTCACTCACTGTCCGGTTTATCGTCTGTTGTTCCTCGTCTTCCGAGTGTTAGACGTGCTTGCACAATACAACTGGGGCTTCATAAAAGTTCATCTGTGTTGGTAGACAATTATGAATCATTATGATAGTAAAATGTACCTTATTCCAACACAAGGGTTGGGGCCAGTCACTTGCCCAGGTGGGTAGATAATCATTACTCTCCAAGCAGAGGTTTGGGGTTATTTTTAGCGTGTTTTTAGGCTTTTTTATCAGGGTTTCTCTTTTGCACTGAATTTTTTTTCCCACCAAACCCCAAGTTGGGTTTGGT